GATGTCAGCAGGTCCATAATCTCTCTGAAGGCTTTAGGGGAGGATCCTTCTTTGCCTCTTCCTAGCTACTAACAGTTGCTGGTAATTCTTGATGTTCCTTAGCTTGCAGATGCATCACTCTAGTCTCTATCTTCATCATCTCATAGTATTCTCCCTTATGTCTGTTCACTCTATAACTTCACATGGTGTTCACCCCTCTGTATATATCTGTGTTCAAATTTACCTTTTGAAAATAAGGATAGCTGTCATCGGCTTGAGGTCCATCCTAGTACAGTATGAGTGCATTAAATTGATAATATCTTCCAAGTCCCTATTTTCAAATAAGGTCACATTCACAAATGCTGGAAGTTAGAACTTGAATATATTTTTTAGGGTACGCAATTCAACCCACAACAGTCTTCCGTCTAGCCCCTAAAAGTTCGTGTCTTTCTCATGTGCAAAATGCATTCATCCCCATTTCAATATCCCCTAAAGTCTCAACCCATTCCAGCTCTAAGTCCAAAACTCTAAGCCCAAAATATCATTTTCTAAATAATCTAAGTTAGTTATGAGTGAGGCTTTGGATGGTGCATCCTAACGCAAATTCTTCTCCATATGTGAACCTGTGAAAACTAGAAAACAAGTTATCTGCTTCCAAAATACAATGTTGGGATAGGCATAGGATATGCATTTCCATTATGAAAGGGAGAAAATGGAAGAAATAAAAAGGTTGCTGGTAACGTAGCAGGGAAAATTCCATTAGGTTTTCCAGGCCTGAAAATAATTATCCGTGGCTTGATGTTTTTTTCTCCGACCTCACTTCAGCCCACTGGAATGACAGCCCAATCCCATAACCAAGGAGGTGACTTCACCTTCTGGAACTCAGGAGGCAACTCTACCCTCTAGAACCAAGAAGGCAGCAGCCCCACCCCTTGAACCCACACTCTTTAAGCCTGTAACAGCAACAGCAGCACCTCTGGCCTCTGAACTTTTCTCAGCAGCCTTACTGGTCTCTAGAGCTACCCTTGGAATTCATTCTTCTATTTTCTTGAAAAATAACACATTCACAGCAGAGTGGCTTTATCAGTATGATTCATTTCTGTAGAATCTCAGAAATCTGAAAAACTTCCTTTATTTTGTCCTGTTTCTGTCCCCTTCAGTCCGGGATGAGTGTTCTGCTGAAATGGTTAATTGGATCCATGTGTCCCACACCTAATCTCTCCAGCAAACGTTTGTCCTGCCACACCCTTGGTGTTCTTTCCAGAACACACTTTCTTGCATGTTGCAATATAGATAGGCTGAGAATTTCCTAGATCTTTTAGTTCTGATTACTTTTTTGCTTAATGTTCTGCTATGGATTGAATTGTGTGCCCTCCACCCAAATTCACATGTTGAGGTCCTAACCCCCGATGTGACTGTACTTGGAGAGAGGACTTTTGGGAGGTAATTAAGCTTAAATGAGGTGATAAGGATGGGGACCTAATCTGATAGGACTGGTGGCCTTATAAGAGGAAAATAGAGTTCTCCACATGCACACATTGAGGAAAAGCCATGTTAGCACACAACAAGAAGCAGGTCATCTACAAAACAGAAAGGAATCCCTCACCAGAAACTGGATTGGTAGACATCTTGATCGTGTACATGCCAGCTTTAAACTGTGAAAAAATAGATTTCTATTGTTTAAGTCATCCAGTCTGTGGTATTTTATTATGGCAGCCTGAGCAAACGAATACAAGTTCTCCCCTCATTGTATCTCTTTCTTTTCACATTTCACTATAAACAGCAAGGAGAAATATGAGCATAACTTCTATACTTTGCTTGGAAATTTCTTATTTATTCAAATTTATTGCCTACATGTTCTACTTTCTACCCAACAGTAGAACAAAATTCAGCCATATTCTTTTCCACTTTATAAAAAGTATCACCTTTCCTTCAGTTTCCAATAATTTGTTCCTCATTTTCACCTCAGACCTCACCAAAAGTTCATAGTTTTAACAACATCCTGTTGTTTAAAAATTTTTAATTTTATTTTAAAGATGTGGGGTACAATTCAGGATTAGGTATACAAGTGTTCATTGTACAGGTAAAGTTTGGGCCTCCCTTTGGTCCCCACTTTGACATCAGGTACCTTTATTGATACAACATTCTGTTTAAGGCAATCTAGGCTTTTCTAGCATGTGCCTCAAAAATTCTTCCAGTCTTTACCCATGACACAATTTCAAATCCACTTCCATATGTTTATGTATCTGTTACAGAAGCACCTCACTTCCTAGTACCCAAATCTGTATTAATTTCCTAGAATTTCCATGACAAATAACCACAAATCGGGGTGAACTAAAACAATAGCAACTTATTATCTTACAGTTCTTGAGTCTAGAAGTCCCAGATTAGGGCATCTTCAGGGTCCTGTTCTCGCTAAAGGCTCTAGAGGAGGATCCGTCTTTGCCTGCCTAGCTTCAGGTCGTTGGTAGAAATTTTTGGTGCTCTTTAGCTTGCAGATTAATCATTCATTACAATCTCAGCCTTCATTTTCACATGCGTTCTCCCCTGTGTCTGTGTGCTTTCTGTCTCCACAAGGTGTTCTCCTCTTTTTGTGTATCTGTGTCTAAATTTCCCTCTTATTATAAGGACACCAATCATTGGATTAAGGTCCACTGTAATCCAGTACAACCTCATCTTAACTTGATTACGTCTGTAAAGATAGTATTTACAAATAAGGTCACATCCACAGATACCAGAGCTTAGAACTTGAACACATTTGGGGCTGGAGTGGAGGGGACAAAATTCAATTCACTGCATACTTATCCAGGGTTGGACGCATCAAAGTTTTCTTGTAGAATAGGATGCACACAGGAATATAAATTTTATCCCTTCAACTGCTGAACCTAAGCAATGTCCATTTCCTGTGTTCCTTTATATTATGTAGGCAATTGGGCCATTGAATTCAATATTCTTTTTTCCCTTTATTTTATTTTAAAGATGTGGGGTACAAGTCAGGATTAGGTACATAAATGGTCTACATACAGATGAAGTTTGGGCCTCCCACTTCCCCTGGTTTAGGATCAGGTACCCTTAGTGACGTTATGTGCCCCACCCCCACCCCTGTAGTGTACCGCTACTGCTGATTTATCTCTTGTAGTATTGTGATAAATGTTCAGAACTCACTTATGAGTGAGAACATGTGGTATTCAAAATTCAATATTCTATCCAGGCAGAGTCCTGCATTTCTCATACTTGGTCCTGTAGAACCCTGAGTATTCTAGAAGACCTCACTTGTCACTTTACACTGGAATGATCTGTTTCAGAATTTTTCTCCTTCAGTAAACTACGAGCTCCTTGAGGGAAACAACTGTGGTTTATTCATCTCTGTAGCTCCAATGCCTAGTATGATAGATGACACAGAGTAGGCTCTTCATAATCATTGGAGGAGGGAAGGAGACTGGGAGGTAAAGGGAAGACGCTTACAGAATTACGATCTAGTAGCTTGGAGAGTAGAAAGGTGCTGTGAGCACAGGATGCCAAAGCCATAACTACGTCACTTCCTCAGGACCCTTTACCTTCTATTTTGATTCTCCTAAAGCTTTCTAGTATCCCAGTGCACAATAAACATTGCTATTACAAAGCAACCCCAGAAATTGTGAACCTTTAGTTTATCAAAATAGCTTTTCCTCCTGGGAGCTCCCAGGTCAGTACAGCTTAGCACATAGCCAGCATGCCAGAAGGGGGAAGGAGGGATCACAGAAAGCTATAAGCAGGCTATGTCTTAAATGGCTAATTTTTATAAATTGATCAAGGTTGAACATTTAATGTGCTAGAGCCCTCAATAGTGCTCTCTCTAATGGATTACTGCCAGCTGATGTCAGGGAGAAAATATAATTTCTTTTTAAAGTTTTGTCATGCCTTTACACACTCAACCCATTATAATGTCAAGAATAAAAAGCTCTGTGTACACTCATATCTAAACTCCAGAGAAAGGAAGAGAAGGAGAAAATCAGACATTCACAGCAATTAGAGAAAAAGTGGAAAAGTCCTGGGAAGGCACACCCAGAATAAACTTGGGGTTTTGGGGGGCCCACCCCTTCCTTCTCTTTTCAATCCTTAAAATGTTGCTAGTATACCCTGTGCCTTCGGCACACTCATGAAAGTCATGCTGTGATACACAAATGCGGCATTCACAAACTTGTTAACAAAAAATGTCAGATACAATACCATGAAAGAAGACACCAAACAGAACACCACTCCATGAGGGCAGGGATTTTATCTTGTTCATCACTTTATCCCAAATGCCTGAAAAGTGCCAAGCACCTAGTAGTCACTTAGTAAATATTTGTTTAATACATTATTGTAGTAATTAAGTTGATTAACCAGGAGACTTCTGTAAGCAGTCAGAACATGATATTCAGTGGGGGAAAATGCAACTTTACCATGAATCCCCTGAGATGAAACTGTTGTCTGGGTAAAGCAATGCTCTTCTCACCTGGCTATCAGAAAGGGAAGTGTACATCTTCAGGAGATAATTAAAACCTAGCAAGTATTCCTTAGCCCAGAGTCAGAGTTCTGCCTTCTCCCTTTCTTCCTGGCTCAGAGCATTTGGATATCACTGAATTTCCAACTCCCCAACCCCTTTTACTTACTACTTACCAAGAACTAAGGTCAAGGCTAACAGAACAAATTTTGCTTGGGCTAAACCAATAGAATGGTTGGTCAAGCAGTATGACAATCATTGCTTCTGCTTTCAGCTTCTATCCTAGGATCTGCTCCTCTATTCTTTTTTATTTCTAAAGCCACTGAGGATAACACATACACACACACACACACACACGCGTGCGCGCACACACACGCGTGCACACACACACACACACACACACACAAAACAGTTATTGACTCCAACTATCAGACTTCCCCTTCACATGCTCTGATATGTACCTATATAACAGGCCATTTTAGCCTTAAAAGCAGATTTTCTGGCCTTCCTTAATCCATCTCTGTGATTAACCCTCCATTCTGTCTTCTTTTTTATTTATTTTAGATACCTGCAGCAGAGAACAACCCTTTCCTAGTTGGAATGCACTATTGGTACTCCAGCTATAGCCACCGAACCCAGCACTGCAATGTTTGTCGAGAGAGCATCCCTGCCTTATCTAGAGATTCTATCATGTGTGAAGGTACATTTCTGAATTTTTTAGGGAAGTGAAGCTCAGTGGGTGGAGATAGGAGTAAAGGAACTCATGTGGCTTTGGTATCATTAATTCACACTAGGTTCCTGACTTAGGTGTGAGGTTAACACTAATTGAGGAAAAGAGAATAGAGGAAACTAGCATGATGGGGAATTAACATGAATGAAAACAGAGGATTGAATATGAGGAGATGGGATATGGTCACAAGTGTTTAAAAGACAAATCATCGTCGTCTCATTCTTAAAATACTTTAGCATGAATCCCCTATTCAATTTGGATAGTAATTTTTGTAAAGTTTAGCCAGTAAAAATAAAAAGGAATTGGATCATACCGGAAATAGGTTTTTGGAGGTGGATCAGAACTATTTAAAATGCATCTGGGTTCTAACTTTCGAAGTAACTTAGGAAGGGGAAGAGAATTAAAATCTTGATTGCCACCAGATTCACACCTGTTGTTTTCTTCCACTTTTTACAGTGTGCAAAGTGAAATCTCACAGATTATGTGCTTTGAGAGCAAGCAAAGACTGCAAGTGGAATACGTTGTCTATCACTGATGACCTCCTCCTGCCTGCAGATGAAGTAGTAAGTACCAGACATGCCCTTCCACAGTCATCCACTCCTATCTCCCCTTTAGCCAGGACACAGGGGAAGGAAGGTTTCTTCCTGTCTCCAGACAAGTAAAGTAGTCCTCTTTCCCTGGCTCACAATCCAAACCATCTGGAAGAGTAAAAACCCCTCACTCTCACCTGTCATTAGTTACTAACATTGGAGCAGGGAGGGCAGTGCTATGAAGAACTTAGGACTTTTACCTAGTGTCCTCCATGGGGTAGTATAATTATTCCAACTGACTCTCTCCTTGTATCTCTAACTTCTATCTCTTGTCTCTTGTTATCCTTTGACAGAACATGCCCCATCAATGGGTAGAAGGAAACATGCCTGTCAGCTCTCAGTGTGCAGTTTGTCATGAGAGCTGTGGCAATTATCAAAGACTTCAAGACTTCCGCTGCCTCTGGTGTAATTCTACGGTAAGACTCTTCTCATCTCTTTGATACTTAGAGAACTTGGCTTTTGGAGAAGGGATGGGATGGAACTTGATTGTGCATATGAATAGACAGAAATCTCAGAAACCCTTATTCCCAAATGGATTATACAGATTCTGTAATATAGAGCTCGGTGTTCTGCCTTTCCAGATTTGGCTATGGAGTCCTTGCGAGAAAGATTTATGACTCTTATCTTTGATCATTCTTAATTGGCAAGATCTACTAGCAAATGGGAAAAGCAGAACTCTCTAATGGCAGTATAGGCAATTAGAAAACAGGCACACCTCACCAACAAGGGTACCTGCATGATGACCATTTGTATACCTAACCCTGAATTGTATCCCATATCTTCAGAATAAAAAAATTTTTAAAAAAAGAAACCAGAGCCGGGCTCGGTGGCTCAGCCTGCAATCCCGCGATTTGGGAGGCTGAGGTGAGTGGATTGCCTGAGCCCGCGGGTTTGAGACCCGCCTGGGCAACTTGGCGAGACCGCGTCTCTACAATAAATCAAAAAATTAGCTGGGCGTGGTAGCGCGCTCCTGTAGTTCCAGCTACTTGGAAGGCTGAGGCGGAAGGATCGCTGGATCCCAGCAGGTTGAGGCCACGGTGGCCGAGAACGGCCACTGCACTCCAGTCTGGGTGACAGAGTGAGACTCCAACTCAAAAAAAAAAAAAGAAAGAAAGAAAACAGGTTCTGAGTATACCCTTAAGAAAACATTTCCTCGTTTACTATTTCCTAGGAACCTGTAATCTTTCTTAATTAATAATGGTTAATAGTATTAACACATTATTGCCACTATATATTAAGTGCTTCATATACATTATCTCATTTAATCCTTACAACAGCCCTAAACAAGGCCTCATTGTCCTCCTTTTACAGATGAGGAAAGTGAGGTTCATAAAAGTGAAGTTATTTGCCCAAGGTCATGCAGCCAGTAGGCAAAAAGTCTTAATTCATACACAGTTCTGCAAAGACTTTGCTCTTGATGACAACACTACTATGCCTCTCAGCAAGTAATCTTCAACTAGGGATGATTCCCCCACCCCCAGGAGTCATTTGGCAATGCCTGGAGACATTTTTATTGTTACAATTTGGGGTGTGACGGAGGCAAGTGCTACTGGCATCAAGTGAGCAGACGCCTGAGATTCTGCTGAACTTCCTACAATACACAGGACAGCATCTCATAACAAAGAACTATCTGGCTCAAAATATCAATAATACTAAGGTTGAAAGACCCTGATTTAGACTTTCTAGCCTTTTAGATACTTCTCTTAAACTGAGTTTTCTGGATAAGAAGAAACTGAAGCGTCTACTACTTAGAAGACTCTGGTTATCCTCTGGCTCTCTTGCAATTGCTTTTGAATAACCAGGTCAGTTTCATGCCCCCTAGAAACTGTGTAATTGTCCAGAAAGTGGTGCATGAAGATGTCAGAAATCTGGGAAGAATAGCTACAGAATATGTGAAAAAGGCAGCAGAATCACAGCTCTGTCACTTACCAGCTGTTTGACCCTGGGCAAGACCCTTTACTTTTCTGAGCACTGGTATCCTTGTTTTTAAAAATGAACTCAATAATGTCCTCTCTACCTCACACACTTGTAAGGATTGAAGTGTAATAATAGATTATCAGGATTGACCCTCTTATATTGCAAGTATGCCTCCATTCTATAGGCTACTAAGATTGTACCTAATTTCTCAGTGCCTATACATGGATATCTTCTGAAAGCCACCTTTGAAAAGTCTAGCGATCTGAGACCACACTCAGGGACAGTGCAGGCTCAGGGTGGAGTAGGGTGTTCAGATGAGTTAGGAGTATATGTATGGCACCAAATCTCAGAAAGGGAGATTTAAATACTAGGGATCTAAATCTTGACACTGGAACTCAAGACTGATCAATGTTTTCCTTTTCTCTCCCCCCTCCTTTTTTTTTCTCTGCTTTTCTCTTGTCGTTTCAGGTGCATGATGACTGCAGGAGACGGTTTTCCAAGGAATGTTGCTTCGGAAGTCATCGCCCATCAATCGTCCCTCCCACTGCGCTAAGCGACCCCAAAGGCGATGGTGAGTAGCTAAACCTTAACCTCAAAAACACTTCAGGGAATGAGGGAAAGTGCAAAGGCTGGGAAGAAAGACTGCAATTAAATTATTCTCCTCAGTCAGTCAAACATTCTGGGGGAGTAAGAATGTGTATGTGTGTATAGACAGCTCACATTTCTCTTTAAACCTTTGGGATGGTGAATGTTGGTCATCCTGGTGTATATGTATGTGGGTATGTTCTTTGTAGCCTCTATCACAATTGTTTCTGACTTACCAGAATTGATTTCAGCTTTTTCATGATTTTCAAACACTAGATAATCCATGAAATAAGTTATTTTTAATCTTTTGTTTTTTGGGGTTTTTGTTTGTTTGTTTGTTTCCAAATCAGGAAAGGAAGGAAGAACTGCATTAAGGTGCAAGTTACGTTACTTTTAAAAGGGAAACTAACACCAAGGTTATTCCAAAATCTGAAATTAACATGATCATTGCCCCAACACTTTTCTTCATTGACACTTTGTCAATTCCTGGACACCAGTGATTTATTAAGGACTCTATTCACAAGGTGTCTAAAGACTATAGAGAGATCAAAAACATGAGCATTGGCAGAGCTGATAATTGTGGATCCAGGATATTGATATACTATAACAATTAACAATTTATTGTAGCATACGCTAAGTACCAAAGGAATGGTAGGACACTCAGAGATCAGAAAATGTTAGGAGTGTTAGCCATTTGTAGGAGGTTGAGTAAAAAAGAGGTAGTAATAAAATCAATGCAGCAAGAGTAAATTTTGTGTCAAGTCTTCTATTAAGAGGTCAAGAAATGCTAGAACAGAGAAAGCAGGAGCCAAGGAGAGGCTAGTTTTTTGGGGGGGGTGGGTGGGGGGTTTTGTTTTGTTTTTTAAAATAAGACCTTGAGGCAGCATGGTGCAAGGGGGGGGGAAGGGCCAGGCAACCGTTAATTTTTGTCACTTACTAGCTAGGTGATAGTGGGGAGTCACTTACATTCTCTCAACTTTGCTTTCCCCATCTGTAAATGGGAATGAAGTTGCCTATTGCAAGGATAAATGATAATATGTAAAGGGCATAAGTATCTAGAAACATAGCCCAAAAGACCATAAAACTCAATCCCTAGTCTTCCTGGGCAACTAAATAACCAGTCCTCTAACCCAATAAAAACTGTAGACCCCCACAGGGATGATTCACACTTTGGCACTTGCTAATGGTGCCTTTTTGAATTCACCTCTCCTTCCCTACTTTTTCTTTGCTTCTCCTGAGAGACTCTCCATTTTGCCGTCATGTTGTTCATTTCCTTCTCCAATTACTCATTGTTAAAGAGTGGGGCCTGTCAAGAACAAAATCAGAATATTTGTATACCTAACCCTGAATTGTACCCCACAATTTTTTTTGATTTTCTGATGTTTTGTGTAAATATGTTTTTTCTTTTATTATTATTATTTATTATAGAGATGTGGGGTACAATTCAGGGTTAGGTATATAAACATTGATCATTCAGGTACCCTTGTTGATGAGGTATGCCCCTCCCTCCCCTAGCAGTTTTATACCCCACAATTTTAAAATAAATAAATAAATAAAATAAAAGAACAAAATCACATATCACAGCTAAAAAGACCTAACCTATTTTGCTAACACTAAGAAATGCAGAACTCTAATATATTTACCACTGGCATGCTACTATTACACTAAGCCAAAGAAGAGATATACTGCTCATGAATTTCAGCTTATGTATGGCTAGTTTCACTCTAAATATGGTCAATTTCACTTACAGAGAAAAGTTCGAATCCTTTCTGAATTTTTTGATCTATATTTCTCTAATATTCTGATGTATCCATCTCTGACATGTGGTATGTCCACTGGCTCAAGAGTGATTAGGGAACCACCATTTCATTGACTTAAAAATCATCCCCATGTAGATGCCTGCTGCTCACTTCATTGCCAGAGAAGAGCCAGCATTAACTGGAAGCAAAGAAAGCAAAAAAAAAGAAAAGTAGATGGTTTTCTTAGTCAGAGAACAAAAGGGGGCAAAGATTCTCATAACCATCACAACACAGTTTTAGAACTAAACATAGCACATGTGTATGTTCATATATATGCACGTGTGTGCACACACACTCACAGTCACTCTGGTCTCTTTCAGTTCTTTTTCAAACCCTAACATAGATACATATAGACCTTAGTACATGGAATGAGTCATTCACACAAGGTTCTGCAGGCAAGTGTACTCATATGACATTTATAAACATAAAACTGAACTCAGTCAGGGATATATGCATATATTATTCTCAGATCTACTCAAATATTTATCCACATAGAGTTATCCATCAGATAGTTGACCAGGGAGGTGATGAGATTGATGACTTGGTAAATAAGAGATGCTTGACTAGATAGGAGAATGAAGGGACTAGGGAAAGATAGGGTTAATACAAGAGGAAAAGTAGCAAACCAGTCAGCTTGGCAAACTCAGAGGCTGCTAGTGAAATCAACCTAGTTTTGAATCAGAGAAATTTCCTCACCCTACACGCACACACCCAGGGACCTGAGGAAGATGTCTTTGAGCAGAGGCCCCACCTCAGCATCCCACAAATCACCCCAAATAGGTGTGGAGGGGGAGGCCACCTCTCCTTTGTAACTGGGCCAAACATGTTCTGGACTTCCTGTCCTTGTGGAATTTGGTGGGGTTTCTTAATTTGTTTTTTTTTAAATCCTATACCAGCTCTTATTCTTGTTAAAGATTGTGTATGAATGGCATTGCTACTTTCTTTTGCTTCCTACCAATGATGTAATATTATTGCTTAAGAGCACATGGACTAAGCTATTCTTTTTGTGTGGTGCAAAGTGACACAAGCCCTGTGGAGAGCAATTTGACAATATCTATGAAAATTACAAAGGCGTATGCATTTTGACCTAGTAATTGAACTTCTGGGAATTCTTCCTATAGACATGTATATATAATGACATCATTTAACACCCCATGAGTTAGCTTTTAGCCTTTGCTCCTAGTCATCTTCAGTCTTGATCCAACTGAATCTCTTTCTGTCATGCATGACTTAGCCTAGGACTTCTTAGGAATGTCTTTCAAGACCTCCCTATCTTCTTGAGTCTTCCTGGCCTAGGCAATTATGTCTTTTAATGGGTAGGTTCCCTGTGAGAAGTCCCATCCCAGAGAAATCTTCTTTTGAATCTTCTAGTCACAGAATCTTAGAGATGGCAAGGTCTTTAAAAATGATTTCGTTCGCCATACCCTGGAGAGGTTAAGGAATCTCTTCTCCAGCATCTGTAGTGAGGCTATGCCGCTGATGACTTTTTGAGGAAGCCCTTGCCAGTTTTGAGTAACACTCATCTATTGACACATTCATTTATTTAGTCAACAGACTGCAATTTCTGAAAATGTCTTCCAATTACCCCTTTCCCCTACCAAGTCTGCTCGGTAAATTATTCTCGGTAAATCCTGTAAGCTCCAGCCCAAAATCAAACATTCTTCTCTGTTTGATGGCTTCTGTAATGACCTCTTCCTACTTCCCCAAACAAATTAATTACTTCTTTTGCTGTAAACCAAGAACATATATCTCAGAGCACCTAAACACATGACATTATAATTGTGTTTGTCTCCTACCCCAGACTGTGAACTCTCTGTACTCCAAGCACTTGGCTCAGACCTGGGTATGTGGTATATGGACAGTCAAGATTTGTTACCTAAATGCATTAATACATTTGCTGAATACTGCCTGTATGTAAGCCTCAGTGCTGAGCAATCTTAGAGAATAAGATGACTATGACAGCACCGCTGATTCATATGGAGGAAAAATAGTGTAGTGCAGTGATTGTCGAGCACGAGCATGCATCAGAATCATCTGAAAGACTTATTAAAAAACACAGATTTCTTGCCCTACCCCCAGAGTTTTTGATTCAGTAGATATGGGTGGGGCCTGATAATCTGCATTTCTAACAAGTCCCAGATGCTACAGATGCTACTAGTTCTAAGAGCATGCTCCATCATTTACTATGTGACCCTGGGCAAGTTTCTTAACCTTTCTGTGCCTCATCTGTCATTTGTTTTCTGCCAATAGGTAATGATAATTGTACTCAGGTACATTATGAAGCTTAAATGAAGTGACATTTTTCTTAAAAAAGATTTTAAAAGTATGGGAAGGAGAGCAGTAAGCCAACCTTACACCAATTTAGTATCCTTCTGTGGAGGGAATAGAATAAATGTGAGCAAGACTGTTGGCTTCCTGGTTTGGGGTACCGTGGTTGTATTAATGCAGCTAGAGGAAATATGAGCTTTTTTGAAAGATTCTTTCGGGTTGTTGACTCATCTGGAGCTAAAGTCAACTAAATCTCCTAAACCTTTTTCACACTTGATGCTGCCAAGTTCCTATTGCCCTGTTCTGGCACAATTTATGTCCTTGTGCCTAAAGGCCAAATTTCACATTTATTCCCCTTACATTTAATCTGCTGACTTTGACCCATCAGCCTGTTGAGGTCATTTTTCAATCTCTATTCTGTCATCCAGTAGCTCCCTCCAGTTTTGGGTACTTCAGAATTCACAAGTCAGCTTCTATGTTTCCATGTGAATTGCCAGTGAAAATTGTGAAATCATACAGGACACTCCCTTATGATTAAAATCAGCCTGTTCAAAAGCAACCTTGTGAGTAGGGTTGTTTCTCTGGTTATAAATCTGCCTTAACAATTCAGCCATCATGGCACCCATTTTTGTCACCTTGTTCACAAGATTCTCTTGACAAACTTGGCCTTGCTCAAATTCAGATATTCTCTTCCTCTGGAGGAAATGCTAGATGGGGCTGTGCCCATATTCTTCTGGGACTGGCTTCCCTGCTGGGGCTGTTTTCTGTTGTCTTCACATCTGTGACCAAATGAGGTTTGACGCTGAAGTTCAAGTTGTCCTTAATTACTGAATTTTATTTAGCTGCTTTCCATTCTCACTCTAGATTATTTTATTAATCATTGTACATGAACACCCAGAAATGTTAAGATGCTTGTTCTAGGTTAGTGAATAAGCCTAGAGGGCAACCAGCTGTAGCACACAGCTGAACTCCCTTGCAGAAGTATCCTACAGGAGGCAGCCCATGCTCCAAGCTGCCAAAGAGATGAAAAAACGATTTTAACTACACCCTCATGGCTATTTAACTGATAGATAGCATTAGCATAATTCTTTTTTCCTGTTGTTTTTTTTTTTTTAAGATGTGAGGCACAATTCAGGATTAGGTACATTTTTTGTTTCTTAATTTAATTATTAACTAATTAATATATTCACAGTTTCATTTTTTTAAAAAAGACGTACACATGCACACATAATATTTAGTGAAAAATATTGCTACTATCTATTCTCTGATCTTCTCAATCTTCTACAGCTCCTCCATCCCCACTCACAGTCTACTACTGCCATTAGTTTCTTGAATAACTTTCAGTAGTTCTTCATGTATTTACTAGTAAATATAAATAAATTTCTTATCCCCCCTTTTCAATACTATGCACACCGTTCTATGCCTTGTTCTTTCCTCCTTCACAGTATGCTTTGGAGATATTTCCATATCAACAAAAAATTACTTCCTCACTTTTTTACAGCTACGAGATATCCCATTATATGGAGATACCATAACTTACTTAGCCAGTCCCCTATTGATGGATAATTTGGTAGTTTTCAGTCTTTTGCTATAACAGTGAAGCAACGAACAACCTCATACATGCTGTTTTACATATACATCTGTAAAAAAACATTCCCAGAAGTGGAATTACTAGGTCAAACTGCATATGCTTTTGTGATTTTCATAGATATTGTCAAATTGCCCTCCACAGGGCTTGTGTCACTTTGCACTTCCATCCTTGGCATATAAGAGTGTCTATTTCCCCATGGCCTCCTCAACCAAAGTATGTTATCTAATTTTTAAATTTGTGCTAATCTTCTATACAAGAAAAAAATGGTACCATGGTGTAGTTTTAACTTGTATATTTATTATAAGTTTAATCATTTTTTCATCTTCAGGGGCCAAGTTATATTTCTATTTTTCAAGTGCATAATGTCTAGCTTAGATGCATTTTTATCCAAGCATTGAAAAACTAGTTAGATTTTTGAATGATCCATTTTGCAGATAAGGAAACTGAGGTACAAATGGTGCATGGTATTTAGTCTCACTGCCACTGCTGCTTCACCTTCGGAGAGAGACTACCCCCAAAGGGCCTTTAACACTGTTCCAAAAATACACTGAGGGCATAGATAGTCCTATTCCAGGCCCTCTGGCAGGGAGAGTCCTTGCTTACAAGCATACCTCACAGATCCACTAGACACTGGCAAAGAGCTGTTTCCATGAGTCCTTTAATTAAGGTACATACCCAAAGTCACACGCTCACCTAGAGGGTGTTGACAGGAGGCTGCTGAGTAAGGAGAGAAACACAGAACAGAGCCAGGTTCTAAAACAAAGAAGAGGGACCAGGCTACGGGTTGGGACCTATATTGTTAGTTGATATGGGAGCAAGCACATACAAAGACAATACCTTTTGACTATTTTCTTCATATATCTTGTGACCTGACCCCTAATGTTTCCATACTGAACAGTCTCTCCCTTATTTTTGCACTGCTTTATCTAATATCTTGTCATTTGATCTGGCCTCTGTCACCTTTCTGACCTCATCTTCTGCAGCTTTCCTCCTGACTCACTCCACAATCATGCTGTTCTTTCCACTGGTCCTCAGACACCCCAGACAGTCTTCCTTCTCAGAGTCCTAGCACACTTACTGTTCTTCCTGCTTTTCAAAAAAACCTCTACCCACAGATATTTGCATTGCTTACTTCCTCCCTTCACTCAAGTTTCATATCAAATGGTACCTCCCCAGAGAAGCCATCCCTGACCACCCTGCCTAAAATAATAGCCTCATCAATTTCCACTGCCTTTCCCTGCTTTTATTTCTCCTCATAATACATTATTTTTATAATTATTTATTATGGTCTATTTCCTTCATTAAAATATATGTTCCACAAGGAGAGACACTTTCTATTCTGACCACCACTGTATTCTTAGAACATAAAGCAAGGACAAGCACAGAGAATGCCCTTGATGGATGTTTGTTGAATGAATGGATTAATGTGTCTTAACTACCATTGTGTCAACATATTACATTTGTAAAAAAAAAAAAGTGTTAAAAAGGGTACTACTTTTAGATAATGTGTTCAGGAAATGTAACTGCTTCCAAGCATGCTACTGAGGGGACACAGCAGACTTCCCTTGTAGCTGTGAGTCCTGGAAAGCCCCAAAACATCGGTGCATGACTAGCTAGTCGGCTTAGGATGCCTTCAAGCTCTGCTGCCCAGTGAGTGAGAATTGGTCCATAGAGGAAGTCTGCTTTAGATTTTTTCCCAGGCAAACCAGCCATGAAATCTGCTCAAGCTGATTTCCTTCAGGTTCCCTTTCACCCGGGTTAAAACAAATGGGACTTCTCAACCCAACTCCCCCTGCCCACTCTCATTAAAGAGTGAGCCATGTGCTTTTTGCCCTGTGTATTTATTTTTGGTGGGGCGTCCTTGCCAAGCCATGAACTCTGAGGTGTGGGGACTCACTATTTGTCTAATGTCTTTTAGGAGGCCATTGCACACTGCCTGTCTCCCTGCCAACAGGCTCAAGGTCTCTGCATGAGCTGGCAGGCATTGGCTATTTAGACTGTTATAACCCCACTTCTCTATGGGTAACATCAGTGTTGGGGATTATTAAGAGCTCTCTCTCTTGTTCAGATTTCCTATAGTCTTGTTTCCCCTGGAAGTTGATGTGATAATACAGATTGCTCTGCTAGAGCCATAGAGAAGTGATTAAAGCTCTTTGCTTCCTCTCGCACTTATATGTTCTGTCACTAGCTCCTAACTGAATGACAGTCTTTCTTCCCCCTCTTTCCTGACCTGATATCTTCTCACTACGAGAACTGAGCTATCCCAGGCAGAGGAAGGACTAGTTGGTATACTAGGCCTCATACTGGGCTCTCAATCCTCTCCTTCCTCAGTTTCTTCACAGAGTTTTACTAACCTTTGATTGTGGCACCAGTTTCCTTATTCCTTGTGTTCCAACATACTCTTGTTTATGAGTCTATTTCATGAGCTTGATGGCAGAGACTATAACCCTAACAGTATCTAGCATGATGCTTGGCACATAGTCGTTGCTTAGCAAATGTCACTTGCCTAACAAGAACTGGACAAAGACTTTTATGCCCCTGGGGATGGTATTCTGATTTTTCCTCTACTCCTCAGTCTCAAAAGACTGGGATTTGTACTCAAAAAGTCCTTGCAAAATGTGACATTAAGTCATGTTTCGTTTCCATCTCAACGGCCCTGTTCTTTTTTCTCCTTCTTTTTATTTTTGTTGTGTGTGTGTATCAGGCCAATTAGTAGTATCTTCAGACTTCTGGACTCTTGATTGGTCATCAGCCTGTTCATGTCCCTTGCTCATCTTCATCAACTCCAAAAGCGGCGATCATCAAGGGATCGTCTTCCTCCGAAAATTCAAACAATACCTTAATCCGTCTCAAGTATTTGACCTATCGAAGGGTGGACCTGAAGCAGGGTAAGTATGGGTTAAGGGATTTATTGGGAAATGTAAAGGAGTCTCCTCCCTCTATACATTCTAGACGAGGATGGGCTTCCTGGAATCAGTTCTTGTACTTGGGCTAGAAAGATCTATTTTCTCAAGTCAGAACAGAAACACAATTCCAGAGCATTTGGGGTTGGCTGGTTGGAGGACTTCCAGCCCTCTCCCAGAAATCCCTTCAAGCCCATGTCCTGGTCTCAGATTTGCTTTACCTTTTCCAGTTGGAAGAGGTAAAACTACACCTCCTGACCTCAGAGGAAGAGGCAAATGGATATTGTTATCTTTCCTGCCACTTTTTTCCCCCAGGGCCAAATAGATATATCTAGACTATAGATCTGTTTTATTTGGGGACCATCTGGCTGCTCAGTCCTGAGTTCCTGTGAGCCCACTGGCTACCATGCAAGGCATTCTTCTTAGGCCTCAGCACATGGTTTGGCTAGATTACTAGTGTCTTCCAGAGCAAGGTTGGGCACAAAAGACAGCGAGTTGGGCCAAGGCCTGATCTCTGGGATTGCCTGTGGTCTTAGATACACAGAGAGATAGGGGCTTGGGGAAAAAAGGCAGGTAGCCTGTTAGCAGAGTACTAAAGCAGCAGTTCTTGTGTCTGGACACATTGTAGGAAAGAGTAGTAAAACCCAGCAGTCATTAAATGACCCCTTTTCCCTTTCTTTCCAGGTTGTGCATGTTCAAGAACTTTGCTCGCTTTCGCATTCTGGTTTGTGGTGGAGATGGCAGCGTGAGCTGGGTCTTATCTCTGATTGATGCCTTTGGATTACATGAAAGGGTAAGTCCCTGGCTGACTCAGTTTAGTCATTGCTAGAAAGAGTAGGGGTGTGGAGCTGTCCAACCCAAGAGGTCCCGAATCATCACTCTCCCTATCTGTAAAATACATATTTTCCACAGGTTTCATGGTCAACCTGACTGGTAGATTCCCAACCTAAGCCTATCCACCTAGACCATTTTCTGGCTGTCTATCTGTGTGAAGGAGAAATGAAAGTATTGTCAGAGAGAATAAGCAGTGCTTTATTCCCCCAGGTTTCAAAGTAAAGAGTTGAAGGGGAAGAGAGCAAGCAAAAAAGAAGTGCCCTCAGACAGCATTCAGACCCCAATTTCCTTACCCTCCTGAAGTCTCTGAGTTTCTTCTCTGAGTCTCAACAGAGACAAGAACTTTCCTCTGCCTCTCCCTGCTCTCCCTAGGCATCCCCCTGCCCTTCTGTCTCCAATAGGTTTGTCTTCTGAGGCACCCCACCTCCTTGGCACAGCCCAGATGGAAATTGTTGGCTATATGTCTCTTTTAGAAGCATGGGTATGAATATTAGCATATTCCAGCAACTTTCCTTTACTGAGTAGGTTCTGTATTGCTTACACTGGGGCCTTAATCCTTAGGGAAAATTTTGCCCAACTTCAAACTTCCTTCCATTATATTTCCTGGAATCTGAAGTATTTTAAAATCACTGACTTTAAGGCCATAATTCTTTCCAAGGAACACCCTCTGAGTTCTTTTATGAGTGAAGTTTGGTATAAGGACTGTCTGAAAAGGGTGCCTCCTTTTGTTCTTGCAGTGTCAACTGGCAATCATCCCACTTGGAACCGGCAATGATCTGGCCCGTGTCCTGGGCTGGGGTGCATTCTGGAACAAAAGCAAGTCACCTTTGGACATCCTTAACAGAGTGGAGCAGGCTAGTGTGAGGATTCTAGACAGGTAAGTGGCAGTTCTTGTGTCTGGACACATTGTAGGAACACATTGTCCTTATGCCTTTTCTAGTCCCACATCAGTTACTCTAAATTATATCATCTCAATCAGGAATACTCTAACCTGTCCCACAGAGCCTCATTTCCTTTCTGGCTTCAGTACAGAGCAGTTTGGGGGACCTTGTATCTTGGGAAGCTAAGGCCTACCATGTATCCTTCAAACAACATTGAAGCCTCTCTTCAAAATTAAAAGATTCTAGAGCAGAGACCCTATGGATAAATTTCAAGAACTGTGACCCTGCTTCAAACTGCATAGCCAATTATCTATGTAAGCATATTTTTTCTTGGGGAAAAAGTCTATAGTTTCATCAGATTTTCAAGGAAACTTTAAAAAAAGGGAAGGAAGGGTTAGAAATAACTGGCTTAGATTGTCTCTGCTCTAGAGAAAAGGAGAGTATTACCATCTTATTTGCAGAGGAAGAAAATGACTCTCTATGCTGGGGCACATATGAATATTTGATTTATTGCTGCTCATAAGGATCTCCTAGGGATTCTTTTCAAAATACCAAGCAGGGGCTCACCATAAAGAATCAGTAAGTCTTGGGCAGGTCCTTAGTATGTGTATTTTGTAAAAGCACCTCAGAATATCTTGATGGTTACCACCAGTTGAGAAGCACTGCCCTCTGAGAACCCTGTGAGGAAATTCTTTCCAACACACTGGCCTATAGCAGCTGTGAGGTAGAGGCCACTATTGTGGTATACCTTGAGATGACTAAAAATTGATTTGGGCACCCACTTGTCCCCAACACATAAATATTTTGACTTCTATCTTGATCTTTGAAGCATTTATTCTCACCTGTGATGAAACAGAACCCTAAATATCTGTCTTTGAACTTCATTTCAGATGGAGTGTGATGATCCGTGAGACTCCCAGACAAACCCCACTGCTAAAAGGACAGGTTGAAATAGATGTACCACAGTTTGAGGTAACTACTGCCCAGCTGTAATTTAGGCAAATGTCTTTATTACACAGTGGAATAATTGGCAAAGCCCTGAGAGAAGCTTCTGTATTGTCCTTGGACTTGATGAGATTATAGAAGATTGGAGACGTGTCAGTCAGCAGCTATTTACCAAGAACTATGTTAGACATTAGGGATATAATTCATTCACCTATTTACTTATCCACTCATTCAAAATATTTATGGAATAACTACTATATGTGAGATATTGTTTTAGGAGGTGTTCTTATATGCTGGCGAGTAAAGAAAAATGACATAGTCCCTGCTCTCATGGAGCTCATAATCTACTTGGAGAGATGGAAAAATAAGTTGTTTTAATCAATCAGTATGAGTGTTAGTATATAAGGAAGTAGAGGGGATTGAAAACACACAACAGGGAGATCTATATCAGTCTGGGGAGTATCAGGGAAAACTTCTCAGAAGAAGTAACATTTCAGAAGAGACCGGAAGACCAGAGGGAGTTAACCAGGAGAATAAGAAAGAGGAAGCCTGTTTCAGGCAGATGGAACAGCATGTATTATTCCAAAGGCAAGAGAAAGCATGGAATATTCACAGAACTGAAATGCATTCATAATGGCTGGTGCATAGGTGCCCATGAGGGGGCATGCAGGGAGAGTGACTAAAGATGAGGCTGGAGAAGTCATCAGGAGCCAGGCCAGGAAAGGCATGGTCAATCATGGCAGGAAGTTTAGATTTTTATCCTAAGAGCAGTAAGAGTTATAGAAGTGTTTTTTCTTCTCATTTTACTATGAAAAATTTCAAGCATACAGGAAAGTTGAAATGGTAGATTCTTCCACTAACACTTCACTAGACTTACTTTATTGCATACCCAGTCATCTGTCCATCTGCTATCTAACAGAAGGGATTTAATCAGAGGAGTTCCATGTTGTATGGAGAAACAATGGAAGGAATAAAAACTAGAGGCAAGGAGAAATGCTAGAAGATGTAATTGTCTAGGCAAGAGATGATGGTAATTTGGACTGGTGAAGTGGTAACATGGATGAGGAGACGTGGACATATTTGAGACATACTGAAGAAATAGAATGATCAGGGGTTGGTAAATGTTTGAATGTTAAGTGGTGATAGAGAGGAAGAAGTGGAAGTTGTAATCAAGAGTACAGACTCAAAAACCAGACTACCTGGAATCGAATCCTGGCTCTGCCACTTATCAACTTCCTTTTCTCCGTGCCTTAGTTTTCTCCTCTGTGAAATGGAGATACTAATAATCTTTATTTCATAGAGTTGTTATGATGATTACATGAAAAATATATACATCTAGCTTAGAACAGAGCCTTACACATAGTCAGTACTAAATAAGTGAATGTTGTTATTATTGGTAATAGTATTATATAAGAAGTGTCATTCTGACACTGGAAAGATGTAGAACTGAATTCCAGTTTTAGTCTATGTAATAAGAGATTGTTCATTAAAAACACGAAGCAAACAGTACTCCTTCATAGGAGTTTTTGATTATTAATTTAAATAAGAGGAAATAAAATATACCTTATTCTTAGAATGGTCACAGATCTAAGGTCATCTCTGGGGACCTTCAGCAAGAATTCTTTGATCATGATTATTTAAAGAAAGGCAGTTGGGTTGCTGGTAAAGAGTCAATAAGAAATAATGAGAATGTGGAGATGAGGATGGGCGGCACACTATGTTACAGTGCTCAGAGTCCAGGGCTGAGCACTCCTTTTCTCCCTAGGCTGCTGCCATCCAACACTTAGAATCCGCAGCCACTGAGTTGAACAAAATCCTGAAGGCCAAGTACCCCACGGAGATCATCATCGCAAGCAGGTCAGTCTCCCTTTGGCTCTCATCCTTTGGGGTGTGGTTGCCCCTCACAAGCTGCTCCCAGGTCAGATATGGGGCTTATTTTTGATAGTTTAGGGTGTATTGAGGCCAAGGAAAGTATATGTTTATCTTCCCAAGTCAGATTTCGCCCAACTCAAACCTCCTGAATGGAAAGCTAAGGAAAGAAAGATGAGATTGATATGAGGGTTCCTGCTGCTCCAAAAAGACAAAATTGCAAGCCAGAGATTTGGAAGGAGGGTTACAGAAGGGAAACACAGCATCCCAGATCATTAAAGGCACGGCATAGCTCCCTCCGGTAGGAACATCTTACTTTCCATCTTTGACACTAAGAAAAGTCTCTGTAGTACTTACAGCTGCTCTCATAACCTGAGCAATATATTCACCCCTTCTAAATATGTGGGTCATTTGTTCTTCCTAGGACTTCTTGGAGCATTCCTGCCCAGTTTACCACACTCTCCTTTGAGAAACATTCCCTACGGGGAATGTCCTCCCAATATCATTATGTTTATACTAAATTGACTGGGCCCTTGAGCCATAGCTTACTGACCTGGAGTGAAACCCTGATCCAAGTTGGACCAAATGAATTGTGTTTTCTAGAAATTCAGAATTAATACTAAGACATGCTAGTCAAACTCTTTTGAAAAGTTTTGTGAAACTGGACTGCAGTAGGGATGGAGCATATTCCACCAAATATATGGAAAAAAACAGAGAGGAGGGAGATTGAAGGCAGGAGGGAGGAGAGATCAGAAAAGAGAGACAGAGAGGAGAAGCAAAATGGAGACTGATGTCATCATAAGAATGAAGATCTCTGGACCTCATGGTCCATGTTACATTGTGCCATCTATCTTATCTTTCCAGATTCCTGTGTTCAACAGTAGAAGATTTTGTAGTTGACATTGTAAAGGCCTGGGGTCAGATAAAACAGAACAATACAGCAATAGAATCTGTGATTTTGAAAGTAAGTTTCCATTCCTTTTATGTTACACTCTTTGTGGTACCAGGGGCCCCTTTTTAATAAATGCAAATGTCCCTCTCACCGGGAATTGCAAATAAAAAGCAAAGAGAGACATCTGGTAAGCCTCCCTGATAGGGACATTCTCATCAAATGTCCATTTTCTTTTTGCCAAATAAAGAATGGCATTATGCATACATACACACATACCATACCATGTACCTAAGCATATGCCCACAGGTAAACACAAGTGCACATCAAGCATGCATGCACTTAGTTGTACAACAGAACATGTTTGAAGATATGTACATACAAACACACTAGAAATGTGTCCACATTGACCTCTATAACAACAATAGTTAACATTTATACAGTACTTACCCTGTGCGAGGGCTGTTCTAACTATTTTTAATATATTAATTTATTTAATCCTCACAACTGCTCTAGAATATAGAGACACAAAGAGGTTAAGTAACTTGTCTCAGGTCACAAACTATTAAGTGGTAAAACTGGAAATTGAAGCCTTAAATCATGCAGCCTTAAATCATGCAGCAGATGTAGGTCCCCAAACCTACATCCATACAAAAACAGACACCAAGTACCCATGCAGAGGCACATCCACATTCATAGGAGCATGCCCATGAAAATGCCAGTCCAGAAATGTCTATTTTTCTTCAAGTTTTCCATGTTACAAATCATTTTAAAAGCCAGTCTGACACAAGAAAGATTCAGTGATATACATGGATGCCTGGGGCTGCTCAGAAATAAGTGGTATAAGCCAGATGTGGTGGCTCACATCTGTAATCCCAGTAATTTAGGAGGCTTAGATGGGAGGATCACTTGAGTCCAAGAGTTCAAGACCAGCCTGGGCAATATAGTGAGACTCTCACCTCTAAAAAGAAAAAGAGGAGGAGCAGGAGGAGGAAGAGAGGAGGATAAGGATAGAAGGAGGAGGAAGAGGAAGAGGAGGAGACAAAAATGATTAAATGATATGTGTTTGAGCCCCTAACACCCATTAGTTATCTCATTACATCTACCCACCTACTTCTTTCCCCATGGACTTCATCTTCCCACATGTGGCTTTCTATGCTCAGAGTTCGCAGCCAACACCTACTCCTTGCCACCCCTCCCCATACCAGTTCTGCACTCTTGCTCCTCATTCTGACCTCTCAACCACTGGGCCCTCATAACAATGTCCTGTCTCCTTCCTTTCTATCTAGAGCGACTTAATGTATGATAAGCTCAGTGTCCTGATTGATGTCCTGGCTGAGGAGGCAGCAGCTACCTCTGCTGAGAAAAGTGCTACAGAATGTGCAGACAGTAGCAAGGCAGATGGAAAGCCCTTCATTCCTCAAATAGACCACATAGCCAAGTGCAAGCTGGAGCTGGCCACAAAGGCCCAGAATATCCAGAAATCCATGAAACTCATCATATTCCAGATTCAACAAGGTAAGATGCCCAGAGTTATAGTGACTGAGATAAGGGAAATAGAAGATTCCAGTGGATAGTTTATGGATCTCCCTCACTCTGGTTTGCTATCTGATTCCACTACCAAAACTTGGCTAGATTCTGCATTCATATTGCATCCAGAGTCAATGCTCAGACCATAGATTTGAAAAGCCCCAGTCCTGATAAGCTGCCTCTTTGACTTCTCCTACCTCCAGGCAGTCAGCTCTTGCTACTCACTTATTTTTGAAACCAACACTCAACCTAAACAATTACAGATGTTAAGTGGTCTGGCTAAAGGCTCTGTTAGCTTCCAACACTAACGGTGGAATTTTTTCCTACCTGCTTCTGTTTCTTTCCAACCACCAAGCCTGTGACTATTCTAGAAAGAAAATGGTGGTCATCTCGGCATGTCTTACACAGTATTAATCAGGCACAGGGGCCCCGAGAGTGGTCCTGACAGTTTTGGCCTTGATCACCATTGTTCAGAACTCATGACAGTCTGCAAATTTTCCAACACAGTATGAAAACTCTTTCAACTTCCCAAACTTCTTTAACATTTTGGTGACCACTTCCTTTCTACAATGCTTCTTTGAAAAACAGATCAGAAGGTGGTGTAAGACCAAGTGTGTTCTGAGCTGTTGGAATTGAGCAGACATCCCGTGCAGCAAAGAAGTCTCCTTAGGTACAAGCTCAGTTAAGTTTCCAAGAAAGAAAGAAAGTCTCCTTTCTGTACTGTGGAAGAATTAAACAGATGCTTTGCATCTATTTCTACAGTTAGTTTCCAAGCAGTGGGAAGCAGATTAATCTGATGTAATGACAACTGACCCTCAGGCTGCTTCATAAACACACATGTTAGATTTAGAAGTGAAGCTTGTGGCTGTAGGAGAAATCCTTCTGCCCTCCTCCCCCGTCCCCCGCATTAGGACAGAAATTGAACTTATAAGCTTTGGCACAGGCTAAGCACCTGAACTATATGAGGAGGAACCCTCCTCAAAAGAACTAGAATTATCTTTTGGAGGGTGGACTTCTTGTAACACACTTGGAATTTGTTCCTCTGGATCAAATGGTCAACAAATTTTTATCTGGAAATTTTGAGAAGGTTGTGTCACGATTTGTGGAAGAAACACATCAGAAAACAGATGACTGGTTCTTCCACCATGACAGCACACCTACTCATACTACACTGAGTGTTCAGCAGTTTTTGACCAAAAATGGTATGACCCCGATACCCCACCCTCCTTATTCACCCAATCTCTCCCCAATTGATTTTTTTTTTTTTTTGCTTCACCAGATTTAAAAAAAAAATTCTCAAAGGAAGAGGTAAACCAAAAACGGCAGAAGCAATAAGGGTCTCAAAATTGATGAGTTCAAAAACCGTTTTGAGCAGTGGAACAAGCATCTCAATAGGTGTATTGCACCAAACGGACAGTACTTTGAAAGTGACTCAAGTTTAAAGATGTAATAATAAATACACAATTTTTAAATAAATAAATTTTGTTTTGGAGGGGACCCCCTCGTACAACGTATAGCCTAGTGAAAGGAAGGAGACTTCTCAAATGTTCTAGGTATGGATGAGGTATTTGAGTAAAAGAATGGCATAGTCTTAGAGGTTCAATTCTGGACAAAAGTCATGTAAGTGAACTAAGAGAATGGAGGTAGAAGAGCAGAGGGCTTCCCATTCTGATTCTCCCATCCCGAGTTCCAAGCTTCTACTCACAACCATATGTACTGGGTGACAGGAAAAGAGTAACCAGTAAAACAGAGAAAGTTCAGGCATGAATATGAAAACACCTTACAGCAACACTGTAAGGAAGCTGAGATGACAAACAGCCCCATGGAGCAGAGGTGATAGTCAAATGGGAGTCTCCATCATCTACCCACACACTGACTGGCATTAACTAAACAAAATGAATAAATGTTCAATAAGTATAAACAATCCTCTTTTCCTCTCTTCTTCTTCCCTCCTTCCCTCCCTCTCTCCCTTCTTTCCTTTCTTCCTCCCACTTTTTTTCTATAGTTCTAGATGAAGAAAGCAGACAGACAATATCTGTTAAGAACTTTACTTCAACTTTCTTCCTGGGAGATGATTCAGAAGATATTAACCAGACGAGCCCAAGACACCGTAAGGCTCTTTCTCTTCTTCTCTTACTCTAGGTTTCATCACTGTTGTCTAGTTCCCATAGAATAAATATGTGTTTTTCATGTTCTTTTAGTCATAATCCTGCAGTAGTCACCCCTCCTCCTTTCCAAGAAATCTCACACTGTAAGATCCCATGCCAGTGTTCAGAGTGATGACCCCATTAGTAACTTTGAAAACGCTGGCCTGATGAAACTCAAGATTTTAAGCTGTTTGCACTGCCAGCCGGCAAGCAGCTCAACCTTACTATTCTCTCAGTGGAAGTCCCTATCCACCCAAGAAAATCCTACTTTGGAATGAGAACCCTGAATGTTATCTAGGAGAAGGTCACTGAGCTTGACCTTGCCTCCACAGAGGAAATGGGGTGAAATACAAGTGGGGAAAAGGGCTTTTTGTTTGTTTGCATCTGACACCAAGGTAATGTCTTTTGTATCTAGGTTCTCGTTGTGACACTTTAGCTTCTATATCTTCTCTCAAAAGCGAGGACCTAGATAACCTTAACTTGGAACATTTACATTTTACACCTGAAACTATGTAAGTATTTAACTCAGTCACTTTTTAAATGCTTTTTTCCCTTCTTTGCTAAGAACACAATCTCAGGATATCCAGAGTCAAATCCTGACTCTACTTACTAGTTGTGACCTACGCAAGTGACACACCGATCCAAGCCTGTTTCCTCACATGTAAAATGAAGATAATTCTATAACTTGCCACGTGTTTGTTGTATTTATTGAGTTTATATACAAAAAGTACTTGCATTGAGTAGTGCTTGGCATCTGTAGTTAAGTGTTATATGTGTTAGCAGTTATTAACATTATTATTGTAAACAATTAATAAATGTAAGTTGGTTTTTTTTCAGACTTGTTTTTTTCACTATTGCCCTTAACAGTAAATGGTTAAAGATACAAAAATCATTAGGGGACCAGGTAGCAAATCTAAGGACATCTATCTCTCCAGTCCTACCTCTTCAGAATATTACCTGCAGCCAAGTTCTGCCACATTCACTCATTTTGAGTTCCATTAAGGTCAGTTTGAATATCAGTTAGAGAAACTCCACTCTCTGGAGTGTGGTCAAAGAAAGTAAATCTCACGTGAGAGATGTAAGGTCAGTTTAGTAATGAATAAAAAGGTACTCTATGATTAAATAGCTAAATTGTACCCATTTTCAATTTCTCAAAAGGACACAGCTAACAATTTATGTACATTTTCTTAAATAATTTATTTAAGAAAATAATTCTTATTCCTATTTCTAACTCCTACGTATCTCCACTTTACCAATGTCTCAAGTTTATGTCTGAGATCTCATGGATCTACCTAATGAATTTTGATCAATAGTGTGTTGGCAAATGCTTAACAACTAGCTTTCTAAGAGGGAAAAGCCCTGATTTATTTCTGGTGTAAACCCTCCCATCGTGGCCTGTTTCAAGTTACTGATATAATGCCATTGAATGCAGAGTTGGGAAGAGATATGCATAATCAGTTGACATGGGCTGGTACCAACTGGCTCTAGCACATCATTGGTTTTGATATTGACACCTAGACAGATGCAGGAGACTTGAAAACAGCTTGACTTTTGTTGCTGTTGCTGTTGTATACATATCTACCTTACTTTATCAGTCTTTCCCTGCAAGCGTGCAGTCACTTTGCCCTTTGATATCAACATCACTGAGAGCTGTAGTGCAGACTTGACTGTCATGACACTTTTATTTTTTTGTTTGTTTGGTTTGGTTTGGTTTGGTTTGTTTTTTTGAGTCAAAGTTTCACTCCGTTGCCCAGGCTGGAGTGCATTGACACAGTTACGGCTCACCACAGACTTGACCTCCTGGGCTCAGGTGATCCTTCTGCCTCAACCTCTGGAGTAGCTGGGACTGCAGGCGTAAGCCACGATGCCTGGTAATTTTTTGGTAGAGATGAGGTCTTGCTATGTTGCCTGGGCTGGTCTCAAACTCCTGAGCTCAAGCAATCCTCCCACCTCGGCCTCCCAAAGTGCTGGAATTACAGGTGTGAGCCACAACTCCTGGCCATATTTTATCCAGGATACTTGAGAGTTCTTTATGAAGCCAATGACTCTATTTCCCTTTACTATAAATGAAGAAAATATGGACCACTCATATATGAGGCCTCTAAAGATGACTAAGATCATGAATGTTGCTTCTTTACTATGAGCCCAAATCCAACTGAAGCTTCCCAGCTGACTGGGCACTCTTTCTTACAACTAATAAACCAGTTGCAACACAATGGCACATTATGGTTTGTGCCCAGTGTGGAGGAGGCCTTCCCTCAGTGGTTTTCCATCATGCAGATTCATGATAGTATTGGCACCTTTTTGCACCAATGTCTTTCCTCTTCTTTGGCTAATTTCAGACGCTTCAAAGAAAAATGTGTCATGAACAACTACTTTGGAATTGGACTGGATGCTAAAATTTCTCTGGAGTTCAATACCAGAAGAGAGGAACACCCAGAACAATACAAGTAAGGAAAAGAAACTCCCCTCCCTACATGTAAACACACAATCACAATGCATATATATAATCTTACATTCCCTACCCCTTAGACAAGCAACAGAAAGAAAGAAAGAGGCCCTTTGGAAATAAACTGCATTGATCCCAGGACTAGCCTACTGGGACAGTATGCCCCAAGTGTATGGGTGATCCGTGATGACTGCACTGGCATCCTGGACTTGGAGCTGCCTTCATAGACTAGACCTGTGGACTGCTGTGTAAACACAGCTACCTGTGTCACTATTATTGAGAACAGATTACATTGACTCGATTCAGCACATTGTCCATCTTTGTTTTGTCTGTGAGAGCTTAACCAGGTTTTAGTAGTAGCTTCAGGTCTGTTTTTACTTGGCAAGGCTACAGAGTACCAAAGATTTCCTTATTGGTTCTTGGTGTTCTTTTTTTTTTGAGTTGGAGTCTCAGTCTGTCACCCAGACTGAAGTGCAGTGGCCGCTCCTGGCCACTGCAGCCTCGACCTGCTGGGCTTCGGCGATACTTCCGCCTCAGCCTTCTGAGTAGCCGGAATTACAGGCACGCGCTACCACACCTGGCTGATTTTTTGTAGAGATGAGGTCTCGCTGCCCAGGCGGGTCTCGAACCCGCAGGCTCAGGCAATCCACTCACCTCAGCCTCCCAAAGGCACGGGATTACAGGCTGAGCCACCGAGCCCGGCTGGTTCTTGGTGTTCTTAACGTTGTTCCCCTGTACCCATTGATTTTACCTGTCCAACGTTGCCTGCTTGGCACCTTCTGGTACCTTTGTACTACAGACATGACGTAATAAGGTAGCCTCAGAGTTCTTATGGTAAATTGAAGCTATAAAAGAAGCATACCACCCCCATCCCACCCCTGTCACTGCCACTAGAACCTCTTTTTCAGAGCAAGCCTGGGCTGAGGAACAAGTATTTTATCAGATATATGATTTGCAAATATTTGCCCCCAGTCTGTTGCTTATCTTTTCATTTTCTTACTGGTATCTTTTGAAGTACAAAAGTTTTTAATTTTGAAGAGGTTCAGTTGATCATTTTTTTCTTTATGGAACATGGTTTTGGTGCCATATCTAAAAAATATTTGCCTAACCTAAGGTCTTAAAATTTTGCTCCTCATTTTTCTTCTAAAATTTGTAATATTTTTAACTATTACATGATGTTAAGAGTTAAACAGTGTATGATCCACTTTGAGTTAATTTTTATGTATGGTGTAAGAGTCTAAGGTAAGGGTTCAAGTTTATCTATTTGCATATGGATATCCAATTACCCTAGTACTATTTTTTAAGCAGCTATCCTTCCCCCAATAAATTGTGTTGTTACCTTTTCTGAAAACCAATTGACCATAAATGTAAGGGTTCGTTTCTGGACTCTCACTTCTATTCCATTGATTTATGTGTCTATTCTATGCAAATACATCACTGTCTTGATAACTGAAGTTTTATAGTGATTTTTGAAATTGGGAGATGAAAGTCCTCCACTTTGTTCATTTTTCAGAATTGTTTTGCTTGTTCTAGGTATTGTGTATTTCCATATATGCAAGCCCCAGTTTTTATAGACACTAAAGCATCCAGAGAACTCATGGTTTTAAACAGAGTCCAAATAATTTTGTGCTAGCCATCTTACATTTCCAAACTCACTCCCTGTGATCACTCATTGCTATAGCTCTACTTTACTCATAGTAAACTATATCCAAGGGATTATGGTGATTGTAAGCACCCCATCATTTTTTATCAAAGGACCCTGTGCTTCCCATCTCTACACTAACTCTCCTGATATCTTTGTCTCACATTTTTCTCCACTGGCTCCTCCTCTAAAAATCTCCCTATTAAGCTTAGCTCTATTCTAGGGTACTGAGTTAAGTATTTAATATGTGGGTCTGGTGTTTGGAAAACTCTTCCACCTTGCAAGAAAAATTGTTGCTTCAAAAAACTGCAATCTAAGAGTCATGTGTTTCAGATGAAATTGACTCCAAGAAACTGAAATCTTGTGCTCCTGGAGTGGCACTGCCAGGGTAGCTGTTGTGTATCAGCCAGCTATGCTCACAACTTTCTATGAGCATTGCTTTCTAAATATAGCCTGTTTCATCCAGCAGTAAGGAGAATTGGAAAATGTATTTATTAATAGAATGCTGAGGCTTCAAAGGGGCCCAGGAACCCATTTCTGCAGGTGTTTGCGTGGGGATACCAGTTATACTATCCCAGCAGCCCCTCTGTGTGCAGTTACCATTTAGAATGACTCCCCTCTATAAAAAGGCACTTAAGAAATAAGATGATTTCCCTTCCTGTCTTTCTCCATTCATTTATCTATACATTATTCACCATCTGACTATCTTTCTCTGCCCTTGTCTCCCTGTAGTAGCCGCCTTAAGAACAAGATGTGGTATGGCCTTCTGGGAAGCAGGGAACTTCTGCAGCGCTCTTACAGGAAACTGGAAGAACGAGTGCACCTGGAGGTTAGTGGGGAAAGGGATGGTCCTTCCTAGGCGTGGAGAAAGGAAATCTCATGGCCTTGAGAATCAACTTTCCCCTATATCTTTGTTTCTTCCTGAGCTTTAAGTCTGTAATCCTCACTCACAGCTCATGGGAGGAAGGCATGAAGATAGATTTCCATTTTATGAATAAGCAAATGATAGTGTGAAGAGAAGACTGAGCCCCTTTCCCTAGCTCCGTAAACATTCCTTCATATTGGTACCTGGTGATCCAGCCAACGAGAGCTACTCTTTCCTTTCAGTGTGATGGAGAAGCCATCTCTTTGCCAAACCTGCAAGGCATTGTAGTACTCAACATTACCAGCTATGCCGGAGGTGTCAACTTCTGGGGAAGCAACACAGCAACCACAGTGAGTATGGAACAAGAAACAGGAAGGGCCAAAGGCACGATCCCACGGAGGTCTCTCAGGAAGGAGTTTCGGGCTGACTGGAGTGGAAAGTGGAGAATGGGGGAAGAGGAGGTGGGCTGGGAAGCATTATTAGCAGTGGCTGTATAATCAGTGTATAAGGCAATTATCATCCCAGAGCACAAAAACTCAGCCAAAGACCTCAGGATTAGGTCAGCTCCTAGGTGTTGCCTGGGCTTTGAATTTTTCATTCCTCAGGCCTGACAGATCCTTTAAAGGCTACCTAGGTCATGATCTTTTCTCCAAGGAAGTCTGTCAGTAAAATCCCCTAGGAAGCTAGCAATAATCTCTTGACTGTGAGCTCACCCCCAGAAGGCCATGGGGCAAATAAGACTGGCCTTGGGGACTTATGATGCTGGATTGGACAAGGAGGGAACTGGCTTAGAGTCATGATCTCAAAGGGGGCTAAGAGTTGTGGTCTTAGTGTCTTTTTCCCAGATTGGCTTTCTGGCCTCATCTTTTCCCGTTTTAATAATGCAGTTTTTTTCCACTCTTCATGAGGTAGAAAAATTCTCATCAAGAGCCTTCAAAGCACATCTGCTTGGTATAGACAAGGTGTGGTTTTTCAAGTGTGGGAAATGTGATGCGGTTCTTCTTCCTCAGGAATATGAGGCTCCTGCCATAGATGATGGGAAGCTGGAGGTGGTAGCAATCTTTGGTTCTGTGCAGATGGCAATGTCCCGTATCATCAACCTGCATCATCATCGCATTGCCCAGGTAGGCAGAAGCTGGGTGGGCATAAGGGGGGGGTGAGTTTTTTTTACTACAACCCAGGATGTGGGGTAGTCCTAGGAATTAACTGGTATAAAAGTGCCAGGGTAAAGGGGATAGGTTATCTGGTGGACAGCTAGGCGCTGGCTGAGTTTGGAGACAGAGGTGGCAGAGACTGATGGAGCAAAAATCCCCTAGGAAACAGGTGTTTCTTCCTGGGATAATTTGATTCACATTCTTGCCAGTGCTGCTTCAGATACACATTCAGGCCATAACTGTCAGAGTGATCTATAGCAGTTGTCTCGTTTCTATCTACAGTTGTCTCGTTTCTCTTACCCATTCTCCTTTGTCTTCTCTGGCAGTGCCGTGAAGTGATGATAACCATTGATGGTGAAGAAGGTATCCCGGTGCAGGTGGACGGGGAGGCCTGGGTTCAGAGGCCAGGCCTTATCAAGATTAGATACAAGAACGCTGCCCAGATGCTGACAAGAGATCGGGTAAGAGGGGAAAAACTTGCTTGGGGTCCCACACTGCCTCATCCATAGCTGTTACTTGAGTACTGAACACTTCCAGTCAAGCAGAATTCCTCAAAGGGAAGTCTGCATGTGTCTTGCATCACAGTCATCTGAGGTGCCGGTTATAAAGGCACATTCCTGGGCCACACACCAGACCCACTGAACAGAAGGGGGATAAGTAGTTCTTAAGAACCTGCATTTGGGCCGGGCTCGGTGGCTCAGCCTATAATCCCAGCACTTTGGGAGGCTGAGGCGAGTGGATTGCCTGAGTCTGCAGGTTCGAGACCAGCCCAGGCAACTTGGCAAGACCTCGTCTCTATGATAAATAAATAAAAATTAACCAAGCATGATAGTGTGCGCCTATAGTTCCAGCTACTTGGAAGGCTGAGACAGAAGGATCACCGGAGCCCAGCAAGTCGACGCTGGGGTGGCTGTGGACATGCCACTGCACTCCAGCCTAGATGACAGAGTGAGACTCCACTTCAAAAAAAAGAACCTGCATTTGTAAATAAGCTTCTCGAGACGTTCTGATATATATTGACATTTGCAAACCACTGTTCAAGAGAATGAGACAATGAGCTTCCTTCCGTGACTCTGAACAAGGTTATCCTCCTCTCTCCACTGCAAAGACAGAGAAAGACCTTAGGTGGTTATGGAAAAATCTGCTCCATCAACAGCAGATTCTGCATTGAATATGGTCTTTAGGTTCCTCTAAGTTTCCTTAAAATGTTGCATTCACAAATGTCATCCACTTCAGCTAAATCTTCTAAAGCTTAGGAAAGAGCCATTATAGATCAGATAGATGTTCAGTGTTTGGAGGCTTCTTGTGCTCTGACCTGTGAAGAGACCATAGAAACAGCAATAGAGAAGGGAGGGAAAGTCCAATTTACAAACTGCCTACTTTGTGCTAGGCACTTTACATTTCTCTCATGTAGGTCCTCCCCCACAATCCTATGAGTTGTTTATACTTAGGCAAGGAAAATGAGAACCAGAGAGGTTAAATAATTTGCTAACACTCACACCACTAGTATATGACAGAAGCATAATTCAAAATTAAATTATATAGGTCTGGCTCTAAATTGCCTAGATTTGGCAAAAAAGCAAACAAAGAAAAGCATGAAAGGTGTCCCACTGTCTTATCGGCCATGGTGCCCTTATATAGGAGCTTCTGGAAAACAGACGTCTATCTGATCCAAGCCTGGTGTCCCAAGACCCAGCATACTGACAACAGCAAAAACTAAAAGTGCCTAGAAATGACATTGAATAAAATGATGGATAGATATGTAGGTATATAGACAGTACCCATCCACCTACACACTACCCACATATGTCAGACTCACAGATACATCTGTCACGTGCCCTCTTAGTTACAGCAATCATTGGGATCTGCCACTGTATTCATCTCCAGGACTTTGAGAACTCCATGAAAATGTGGGAGTGCAAACATACTGAAATCCAAGCTGCCTCTCAACCCCAGCTGGACTCCCAGGAATCTCAAGATAGCCTCTCTGGTGAGGAGTATGCCCAGATGCAGCACTTAGCTCGGCTTGCAGAAAACCTCATCAGCAGGTGAGTGAACTGGTCTAGATACAGGGCTGGGAATCCCAACAAGGGATAGGGAGAAGAAGCCAATTTGTGTCTGTTGGTTACTGGGGAGCCTGGCCTCAGAAAGGAGTCTCACCTAGAACTCTGAAGATTGCCTGGGACCCTGATAATCCAGACAAGAAATATTCTTTGTGCTCAGCAATAAGCCAATTGGACATCCCCAGTTAGGCCCAGAGATAAATTTGGATCTATTCCTGCTGCCCCAGACATGATAGAACTAAGAATGTTATCCTTGCACTTAAATGTCAAGAGGATCTTGGAGTTCCTAGAGTCAGTTTTCTCCCTATATTCCAGCTTCCCACCCTCCCCGAGTTCCTAGTATCTAAATCAAATGAGACAAATACCTAGAGATGAGTAGAAAAGTTTTCTGACATGAGTGGCTGCCTAGAGAAGAGCAGAGGTAACAAGGAGTAAAGAGTCCAAGTCAGGTACCCAGGGCTTTCAATTTCTACCCTTATCTCAACCCTCACCAGATCCCAGGCCAGAAGTCCTTCAGAACTCTTGATTCATCAATCTGAGTTCAAGGATTCATCAATTCATAAATCCTTGCTTTATTACAGACTTAATGACCTGAGCAAGGTCCACCAGCATGTGTCTGTCCTCATGGATTCTGTGAATACCAGTGCTAACATCCTGAACGATATATTTTATGGCCAAGACAGTGGCAATGAAGCAGGAGCAGCTTCCTGTACTCCCATTGAGGTAAGGGGGACTGGGCAGATGACAGAACGAGGTCAAACCAGATAGAAAAGGGGATGAAAGGGAAAGAAGGGGAGCCAGAGGCTGGATGGAGAAACTGGGAAAACGATATGGCAGGAAACTAGTAGATAGAGTGGATGGGAAGACAGAACTCTTCCCATATGGAGTGGATGGGAAGTTCATTCCTGGACTTGTTATAGGTTCAAGGTAGCTACTGGGGGAATCCCATAGCAGATTTCATCAGCCTGAGAACTAGTCCTCTTCCCTGATAGCCATCCACCATACCAGCCTCAGGGGAGAGATGGTCAATGAATGGAGAGAAACTTGGCCTTGGCCATTCTTCATCCCAGGTGAATCCCTGAATAGCCTGATAAAGTGATGATAACTGTCACTGGAACCAAAGCTCCAGGGTGCCTTCATTTCCTTCTTAAGCGAAGGACACCTAATGTTAAATGTGCTATCCCATGACTTTATCCACTGCTGGAATATTTAAGTGATGTTTTTAAAAAGTGACTTTAGTGCCAGGTGAAAGATACAATAGGGTCAGGGCCTGAACTTAGTTAGAAAGCCTGAAGCTCAATGCCTGGAGTTTCAAGAAGAGAGATGGTAAGGTCTAACTCTACCTGCCATGGGAAAGATGGTTTTAGCCTAGGGATAACAAGTGACCTCAAATTTACTCTCGGTTTACATATTCCCTATGTTCCTATACCCACTGCAACCAATCAATGATGCCAAAAGCCAAGTTGTGCTGTGTCACTTCATAGGACATACGAATATAGCTGTACCAGTGGTTGACAGCTGGCATTTGCTGTGCTAGTTGTGCTATATTTTGAATATTACTTTTTCACCTGCAGCCATGTCCTATTAGCCTGCTTTTACCTTCTGAAGAATCCAGCTGCATGCTTACTAACCAACAACTCTTCTGTCTTTGTCCTTTCCCTTCCTTTCTTTTCCTTTCTTCTCCTCTCAGACTCTAAGCAGAAACGATGCAGTAGATGTTACATTTAGTCTTAAAGGGCTCTACGATGACACCAAAGCTTTCCTGGATGAAAATTTGGTGAGTGCAGGGGATTGGAGCATGGAGGGCAAAGTACCCCATCTGAAGATGGTCATGGTCTGTGCTTGGTTCTAGGGCACTGGAGACATGTGGGAGCTTTTGGCCAGGTGTTTGCCTGGAAGTCCTTGCTGTGTCACCCAGGATTGTCACTGATTATATCATTTCATGGGTTATGCTAATCCATAGGGACTACCATACCCTTGAAAGAAAGTCTCAGCCTCTCCTTTGACAAATGTCTCCTGGGTCCAAGCCAGGCCAATCAAAAGTAGGGTGTTCTCATCTTACCTGATACGGCTGCAGTAGAATAGGGTGAGCTCTTTTGAACTGTTTGGTATCTCCCAATTTTCTACATACCTCTTTCCCATGCGAGAAGGTGGCATGGAATAGTGGGGAAAATGTGACAACTCTGGGTTCAAATCCCAAATCTGCCACTTACTAGCTGTATTCACTTCCTAAGGCTGCCATAACAAAATACCAAGAACCAGGTGACTTAAAACAACAGAAATTTATTGTCTCATGGTTCTGGAAGCTAGAAATCTAAAATCAAGATGTCTACAGGGCTATGCTCCCTCTGAAACCTGTATAGGAGTCTTTCCCTGCCTCTTCCTCGCTTCTAGTGATTTTCTGGCAAGCTTTGGTGTTCCTTGACTTGTAAATGCATCTCTCCTATCCTCCATCTTCACATGATGCTCTCCCTGTGTCTCTCTGTTGTCACATGGCCATGTTCTTCTATATGACACTAGTCATATTGGATTGAGGCCTACCCTATCCAGTATGACCTCAATCAAACAACCAATTAAATCTGCACTGACCTTATTTTCAAATAAGGTCACATTCTGAGGTACCATAGGTTAGGTTTTCAACATACCTTCTTGCAGGGGACACAATTCAACCCATAATACTAGCTGTGTGAAGTTACTTCACCTCTCTGGATCTTAGTTCCCATATCTCACAATAGGAATTATAATCCCTACCTCCCCAGGTTGTTGTGGGGATTAAGCAAACTATTGTATATTATCCAGTATCTATCAGTGCCTAGCACACAGTAGAGGCTCAACAGATGGTAGCCTTTATTAGTGGTAGCAAGAATGGACTGAGGCTCCATTTTGGAGTCACAAGACTAGTTGTATGTTTCTCAGAATGCAAAGCCCATAGGCACACTTGGTGAGTGTGCTCTGGTAACTAATCATGATTGTCCCACTTGGGGGTTGGCTGCTAAGGCCCTGAGGCAGGTGCTGTGCTTGCCTCTCATCTAATTAAGATTTATTTGAAGAGGGACTTCTGAGTTGATATTGCAAGAAGTGCATCCATTTCCTCTTTTCATGTGCACATCTAATTGGCACACTGCACAGGGGGCAGAGTGCTAAGACAATCAGGCCAGGCTATCCCAGCATCTGAGCCCCGACCTAGTCTTTCAGTCATAGACAAAAGCAACCGATGTGCCTTCTATATACAGGCAGAGTTCAATGGCCTTGCCAGTTTGGGCAGTAAGAAATAAGGCAATTTAGTCTCTTGTTGCTCTTCAGGTTTTCTTGAGGCTTATGACCTGGAAATTGGTTTGTAGCAGACAACAACCCAACTTGAGCACATACCACATTTGAGAAGGCTCCCATCCCATAGAACCCGTAAGGACCCTCACTCCCAACACATACACACATCCACATGAGGCCAGAAGGCAGGCAGCAGCTAAGAATGACCATCTATCTATCTCCAGAAAAGCTGTCATAGAGGAGGGATGTGGAGAAGGCTTGCTTCCTTTGGTGCTATTCCGCCCCTTGAGGAGGGCAGCAAGAAGCTTAGTATTAGCAAAGAGATATAGACTGATAAAGGGAAGTGCACTCAGTAACTCCCAGTTCCTTTGTTTGGCATACACACCTCATGCGTCTAAGCCTGTGTTGTCCTAAGTCAATAGTTGTAAAGCAAAAGAGATTGACAGCACCGACTTGTTACTCCCTTAGTATTCCATCCTTACTGACCATAGCCTCCCACCCTATCTGCTTCCCAACACATGCCACCCATTTGTGACAGCTAGCAAGGCTTGACCTATGGCTGGAGCAGCAAGTGGCCTGTGCATAGCAAGAAGCCACATAAGTGCCAGATTGAAAGAGTACATGCCGGGGAGGAGAGGTGAGGCCAGGTTAGGTGGGCTGTAAGCATGTCAGAGCTCAAGATGTCAGTGTGCATCTGTTCTCCTAGCTCACTGCTTGCTAGAACATAAACAATCTCTACCTGTGTTGCTGGTCTAACTGAGTTGGAGATGGTCCCAAAAGAATCTATTTTAAGTCACCCACAGACTGTACAGAGTTCATCCTGTGGGTTCTGGGGCTTACAAGGGAGCACCTAATCTTTGTTTCCTGAACCTGTAGAACAAGCCATCTGGAACTCGTTTCTTAATTACTAAGAGTAAGTAGCTAGGAAGCTAAAGCATAGTCTGGGGAGGGAGACCCTCTCTTCCAGGAAGAGAAAGGTTAAGCCAGTCTCCCTCTAGCTTTCTCCTACTCCACAAAACAGCCTTTGAATTACAGTAAGTGTGCAATACAGATTCCCCCCAGCATCTGGCCTTCCCACATGTCTTTGCTGGGACAGTGTTGCACAGAGGGTAGGCTACAGAGTTAAGCAGACCAGGGTTCTGTCTAGCTATGTGATCTTGAGCACTGAACTTCTCTGAGTCTGTTCCATCACTTATAAAATGAGAATAGTACCTTGGAAGGCATCATAAGGCTTTAAGATGGAATGAAATTATGTGTGCACAGTGCCTGGATTACAGTATGCCCTTACAACTTGATAGCTGTTATTTAGGGGAACACTGGGCTATCTCCAGGAACTTGAGGTCAAGAGTAGGACCCTTGTCCTGGACCCTAAGCTACAAGGGTAAAACTCAGTGTTAATTGATACTAGTCAAAAGTCCTCTCCACTTGCTATACTGTGAGCATGCCCAGCCCCAAGGAGAGCCCCCCAATCTGGTTGTTTTCTGGATATCCCTAGTGATAAAGAAAAGAGCTGGTTACAGGCTAAAGTAGATACAAGTTGGCACCGTGTGGTCTCTTGGCCACTAGTCAGGACTGGAGGTGGGGGAGACAGCAAAAGTCTTACAAAGGTACTAAGCATTGGACACTCACTTTTCCCCATCTGTATCAGCTGAGAAATGCTGAAGATGAGGCCACACTGCAAACCGCCCTGGATGCCATGAATAAGGAATTTGAAAAGCTATCAGAAATCGACTGGATGAAGTCAATCCTTATTCCAGAGGTGCGTAACCTGGGGATTGAGAAATCAAGGGCAAGAGGGACTCTTTCTTAGTTCCTTACCTTCCAGTGTGGGCCAGGACACATGAATGACTGTAGTAGAGGGAGTCCAGTGGTGACTTTCAGCTGCAGCTTAAAATGGACCTTCCTCCCTCCATCTCTTCATCGTAAGTAGATAAGACAAGGCATAAAATACTGAAAAGTGAGATGACCGTGGGAAAGAACCAGAAAGAAGATTCACTCTATAGTAAGAGATGATCAAGAAAGAATAAGCAAGATCATTTTTTTCTGTGTTGCTCTCCTAGCTGCAAACTACCCCCTCCCTGCTCAGTACCTGCTGCCAGGGCTGAACTTTATCTGGTACATATACCAGTATGGCCATGCCAATTGTTTACAGCCAACACAACACCTGTTTTTATTTTTTATTTTTTATTTTTATTTTTATTTTTTTGAGTTGGAGTCTCACTGTCGCCCAGACTGGAGTGCAGTGGCTGCTCCCAGTCACCGCAGCCTCGACCTGCTGGGCTCCGGTGATCCTTCCGCCTCAGCCTTCCGAGTAGCTGGAACTACAGGCGCGCGCTACCACACCCGGCTGATTTTTGATTTATTGTAGAGATGAGGGCTCGCCAAGTTGCCCAGGCGGTTCTCGAACCCGCGGGCTCAGGCAATCCACTCACAGCCTCCCAAAGGCGCGGAATTACAGGTTGAGCCACCGAGCCCGGCTCAACACCTGTTTTTAAATGGATGGTGCCCAGGCCATACCGGTGATTAAATCTTCCAAATATCACCTCTCCCTACTGCTTCCTATCCCTCACCCTCTGGGAGATTAGCAGCTATGTGGCTTAAAAGAAAAGCAAGCACAGCATCAGTGGCTACAATATAGCTATAGGGATGCTATCATTTTTGGACAACTCTGAGTGTTTTCCTAAGATTGAAAAATAATCCCATTTCATAAATCTAATGACATAAAGATCTACTACTATCCTTTTATGGTCTGACACGGTTTTGTTCTTGAAAGTTCCCCACCATAGAACCACTCATTTCAACTTGCTGGAATCTCTAGTCCCCTACACATTGTACCTGTTTTTTGACTCCATACACTGATTATATGCATGTGATCAAGCCATATAGGCATGTCTGGACATGGACAGTGCAACAGTCAGGCTACCATTTCAGAAAAAATCCACATACAAATTCAGGTCTTGGATTTTAACAACTTTCTCATGTGCCTTTGCTGATGACTCAAGCACTTTTCAAGGCCCTTTGTGGCCTGCTGCTCTTAACCCATAGCTCTCTGGGAAAGGAAAACATACTGTTAGGCAGAAGAGGAAGCAAACTCTTGTTGCAGCCCCTTCCATTTTTACCCAGTTCAGCACTCTCTCACAAAGCTCCTGAACTAGGCAACTGGGCTGCATATTGAGAGAAATGAGGCAAACACAGTCCATGTCCTGAGATTCCAAATGACATGTGAATCTGCCTGGGCTTAAGACATCATCTCTTTCTGGGTTCCAGCATTTCCATAGAGATGAAGAAGTGAGGCTCTAAAGAAGGGCAGAGTGGATTGAAAGAAAGCAAGGAAAGTGCTGCTTATTCCCTTGATACCAAATTTGCCCATCTTAAGGCTACAGAAGATTCCGGCTGAGGGGAAGTCCTGGGCCCTTCCTTGGTGTTGCGTCTGAAAGGCAATCCTTGAAGGCTAGTGTACACAACCAGGAGCAGTGCTATAGGAGACAAGGAAGCGGGTGGGGACTGGCTGACACTCTTCTCCTCGTGGAGGGGATCAGATGTATAAGTAATCCCGAAAGGAAGATAATCCCAAAGCTTCTTGAAATATGCTTGGCTGGATTTTCTGGCAACAAAGTTAACCTCAAAACTGTGTTTAACGAGACCAGTACTAAAATGATCACACTTTTGCAGGAGTGAAAGACTGGGAGGGTGAGCTGGAATTGCAGAGCCTGCATGATCTGCACATTCATAATTAAGAGCTATGTTTAGAGAACCCTCTTTGCATTCTAGACAGGAAAGCAGATGGCCTGAGAGACAAGGTCTTCCCTAAAGGAAGATACTCGGCCAAGGGGGTAGTAGAGGCTCACCAAACCGTACATCTAAAGGAAGGGATGCTTTCTTCTAATTCATGCAGAGAAGCCATATGAGCTAGCAGTGGCCCTAGCAATCTTACCCTTCTAATCCCTAGCCACATGACCTCTGGTGAAGTACTTAAGCTCTCGGAGCATCTGCTTACTCATTTTTACTATAGGTATGATAATAGCCACTTTGCAAGGTTGTTTTGAGGCTTATATGAGAAAATTGATTAATGCTAGCCAGGCACCTGGCACCTGATAGCCTCTTGGTAAAGACCCACTGCTTTCCCAGGGCATACAGCCAGTGATAGAGGTGTTTCTCATATCTGGATAGAGAGCAGATCTGTCTGCTTTCTGCAGCGATCCTTGTTCACTACCTTGCCAGACTCTAGGAATTATTTCTGAACAACTAACGTTTTGACCTTCCTCTTGCTGTGTTTTCCAAGGAAAAATCTTCAGACACTGACAGTAGAAGCCTCAGGTTGAAAATTAAGTTCCCCAAATTGGGGAAGAAGAAGAAGGTGGAAGAGGAAGACAAGCCTAAACTAGGCCAAAGAGTCCAGGGTTTTATTGGTAAGTCTCCCCCGCAGGCATAGGGATCATGAAGACTTCCCCAGCAGCCTAGCTACCTCCTAGGGTTCTGAAGCCTCCATCAGAAATGTTCATGGGCATAAAGGGGGAGACCACCTGGAAACCAGTCGTAGATAATTCCAAGCAATCTCTTGGACAACTGTGCAACGTGTGAGTTAAAGAGTGACAGGAACACCGGTAGGGGGAGAAGCGGTCTCCATGATATACACAGCTGAAAAGAAAAATGCAAATAGGCGGTGATGTTTCTGCTAGGTCCATTCCCAAGGGTCAGGAATAGATTCCGTGACCTAGCTGAACCCTTTTTATTCCTATCTGTTATAGTTAGTTCCTGGAAATGCAAAATTTCTACATATTTCATTGTCTGAATTTTGGTTCCATCCCTTCCTTCTTCAGAATTGGTCTTAAGCATTATTGGTACATCAGTGGGATTCAAAAGAACATTCTCTTAGAGTTGTCAGTCATGTCAATTCTGATGTCCATGGTTTCACCTATTTGGGGCCTAGACAACCTGGAAGCTTGAGAGATATAACAATAGTGGACATGGGAGGAAAGGGACAGAAGTTAGCAATTTGTTTTTGAGGAAGCAAGAGTTTGCACAGATGCCAAGAGATTATCTCTTGGACCAAGCTGTCACAGGTATTGTCCAACTGGTTGGATTGCCTAAGAACCTGCCAGTTGGAAGACTATGGTGTTTAAGAGCATTTCTGAAGACTCTGATGGAGTAAGTAGCAGCTCCATAGACTATCAGGTTCTGAGAATTCATCCTGTTTGTGTTTGGCTCACATAGTGTTAGCTGGTTTTCTCTTATGCCTCAGAGATGATTGATACAATAAAACAAACAAGTCTGCCTGCTAACACTCTTTGCTCTCTTGGGGGTTCACATATTTGAGTGTCTGGAAATGTGCTAACCTCATTATTTTTATATTTGTTTTTTCTCCCCTCTAAAGGCAATTTGTGGCATCGCAGAAATCGTGAAGATGATCCTCCAGCACCATCAAGATCTCAACTGTAGCCCTTGAAAGTTGGAAGGAAGACTCACTTAGAATTTTACTAGAAAAAACTCTCAAAACCTCAATACAGGCTAGACTAAATCATTTCAGAACAAACATGAGCACCACCAAGAAAGACCCTCCAATTCTTTACACTAATACATTTTTCCTGGACTCAGTCAGGTCTCCTTAGAGGTTTACATTTCCTCGTTGGCCAAAGATTCCTGTTCCGAGTTGTCTTGTTCAGTTCTCCTTCTTCTCTCTGTGCAACTTGAGCATTTACAGTATTTATTGGGATAAGCTCTTGATGAATGGCCTGGGATCTGTAAAAGATTCATGGGAATTCACCTCTTCAAGGAGTTTGGGAATGGTTTCCTCCAACCTGCAGAGAAACTGCTGATACTTAGGAATGAATGAAAGACAGACTCTCAGAGAGATGAAGAGAGGGGGCAGGACAGCCAGGCTTGGTTGTGTGTCTCCCCCAATCCCTGCCAATTACAACTTGCAACTCCAGATCTCTTCTAGTTGGCCCATTAAAATGAGAATTAGATCCTGGGGGCTTGTCCACTTGCCTGTTAAGATGACCACATGAAATCTCTTCTTGTAGATGTGGTAACTGTGTTCTAGTTCTCTCTCTCTCTCTCTCTCTCTCTGCAAACCCTTTGTTTTTCCATGTGTGCATGTACGTCTTTGCACATGTCTAGGTGGTGCTCTGGTGGCTGGGTGGGCCCACTGGTTGGAACTCACCCCTCATGCAACCATACAGGCTCCTCTCTTACTGCCTTGATCCTAGCCTGCATGCCTCCATGGAGTGTTTGCCTGCATTCTTGCTGGATTTTTTAACTAAATGTTTGCCGCTGTGCTGCAGTATAAATTATGTATAGCATAAAGATGTATATATATATATATATATATATATATATATACATATATATATTTTTAAGAACTGAAAATACAACTCGACCTCTAAGTGACCCTGTAATTTATTGTGCTAACCCAGGAATCCCCTCCAGCCCCCATTACCCTATAATACATACACCTCTACCAACTACCCTAGTTCTTGGTGGAGCTTCTAATCTTTTGGTGCATTTTCAGCGTCTTAGCAGTGACTGGGATCTACCTGTAGCCCAGCTGATTCTGACGCCCCCTTAAAATTCTAGCCAGGCCACAGAAGGGGAACAAAAACACCAATGCCCTAGAGAAGGGGGTTAAGCTGGCATGCTGCCTTTTTTGCTCTATTTATCCTAGACTTTACATCAGCAACTACCCTGGCCTGTGCTGTCCCTTTCCCCAATAAAATGACTTAATGGAGCAACCAGGCCTTGAGCTCTGTGACTTAGATGCCTGAACTAGGGACTGCCTGACAATCAAGTCACAGCCTAGGCCCTTCCCCACAGGCTCCATCTTGGCCTGCATCTTTTGGACAGGCTGTTGGGTCACTGCCCAAATCCCCCTCAAAGCTCCCATTTTGCCCTTTTCCCTTGAGTACAGGGGGCATTCAGTGTGAACAGAAAAAAAAACATGAGCCTGGAGAAATGGAGGCTAAAAGCCTCTGCTTCTCTGTGGTTCTTTCAAATTTCTCATGAAAACAAACTGGCCTAAGTTGCTCCAAATCCTAATTGACTTTTTTATTAAAAAGTATTTTAAAACCGCCTGCTCCCAGTCAGGCAAATCTAACCAAACCCCAGTGCCCAGAGAGGTTCTCTCTGGTCTGCCTTGCATCCCCATCCCACCCTCAACTCATACCTTTGGGTAAGTGTCCCTTCCCACTTATCAAGAGAAAACTGGCCTCTCCCCACTTCTCAGACAAACTTAGCGTGCTCAATTACCTGACTCAGTCCAATGGCTGGTTCATTGAGGTGCACAATCCAGACTCCACTCACTGGTTCTCAGCTCTGGAACTCCACCAGCCTAACCCACTTAAACCAGCCACCTGTGTTCCACCTCTATAGGGGTGAGGAGAAAAATACTAACAAGGGGATTGTCCCCAAATATCTGATTGCTGTGCCAAACAAACACAAAGTTCTAGCTCTACAACTAGAGAAGACAGTCAATGAAAAAGATGACAGAAAACATTTAAAATTTACTTAAGTATTAGAATGTGTTAACTTATTGTATGTGTTTGAGTGGGTAGTGTGCTGTTGCTGTGTCTTTGGCTTTCTCTGCATCACTTTCGTCCCAGGAGGAGGTATTCGATGAAATCAACAAGGTCACCATTGCAGCCTGACTTGGCTCATCCATGGCTGCAGGCATTAACATCTGCACACACACGTACAGAGTTGGGAACCAAATTGCATTTTCCTCAGAAGAGCCTTTTTCAAAAGGGAAACTTTCCAAATGAGCAAATTTAAGGAAACAGAAGGAAACCTGGGAGAGGGTAGCTTTATCTTGGCAGTGACTAAGCAGGGCTGTGTCCTGTAACTATTTTCATCACTGATAGTAAACTGTAATAGGACTCCATCTCTTGTGCTTACTTTGTACACTGTAATGCTGCTGTTTCTGTGTTGTGTCATCTGGATTTCCTTTCATCCACCCATCCTCCCAGCCTGAGTTAGAATGATATTGAATAAAACCACTAAGATTTGGGGCTAGAGTCAGCTCATAGAGCAGAGTTGATATATGACAAGGCCCAGAAGCTGGTGTGGTTTAGTAAATCCCTCAGTTACCTCCTAAGTTGCTAAGTTACCAGTAGCTTCCTGAAAAGGAAGACAGCTTGCCAAGCATCTGTTCTTGCATGTACTCACTTGGAAACCAAGCAAGAAGTGATCCCTCTCTCAAGGGAGTTGTCTTAGCCCCTGGGAGTATAAGTTCCTTTCAGGACTTCATTGTTAACTACTTGCAGTAATACAGTTGCTTGGGTGGTGGGGCCAGACGCCAAATATCCATCTCAATTATGTTCAGACACAATTAAGAGCTAAAGCTCTGGGGTTTGCTTGCATCTTTGGTAGCACTTTCTGAGGAATTGATTGAGTGGGAAATTTCTGGCCAGAACAGGAGAGAAGAAAAAGCCAATAGATGCGAACTGCCACCAACTGCTTCTGGTGTCAATACTACAGGAGGTCAACAACTATCAGTCCTCTCTCCAAAAAGGCCCTGTGATGCATCCGAAAGGGCAAGGGAAGAGTAAGAAATATTCTCAACTTAATAAATTAAAGGTTGGCCAGAAGAAACTGTTGGGGTCAACATCTTTCCTCGGGACAAATGTTTCAGAAGGCTTTTAGTTTCACTAGAGGCAGAAATGAATACCAAAGCAATCAAACCCATTAGCATCATTCCATCCTATATGCGACCTTGATTGGTTATATGGTTTGTGGAAATGCAGTTGTCTATTTGTCTCCTAATCTGTAATCCATTATTGTTTTCTGTTCTGGGTTTTTTGTTTCCTCAGAGGCCCCTGCAAATAAGCAGCGGGGCCAGGGGCTGGTTGGGGGAGGAAGGTTGGGTAATCATGGGATAACAGGAAAAAGCAGAAAGAAAAGGTCCACAAAGTGTGCCTATTCCTCTTCCCCCCAAAAAATGGAACACCGGTCCTCAAAGTTAATAAAGTATTGCTTCTTAAAATATTTTAATAAATGGATAAACATAACACCAGTGTTTCATCATTTATCTCAGCATGGGGAGAGTTGATTGGTGCTGGAAATGAGGGGTGGTGGGCTTGTGTGGTCATCCAAGCTTGTGTGGTCTGACAAGTCACATGCAGGTCAGAATGGCAGGTGAGGGAAGACAGCAGCAGAAGCCAAGGATCTCCATCAGAATTGATCACAACACCAAAAGAGCTGCCACAAATAGTTCTAAAACCTGCTACGCCTCAGGATGATCCTGTGGGGGAAATACCTGCCATTGTAATTGTTGTAGAAGCCAATCCTCTGCAGGATACAGATCTCAGTGAAAAGAATTAGTTCCTGGGGAGGCAAGTGGGGTGGAGTACCACCCAGACTGCTAAACAAACGTATAAACCACTTTGAAAATGTTTTGACAATCCAATCTGTTTCCCCTCAACACATACACCATACATTCTTCTTCCCTCTAGAATACTTTGAGGTAGGAAAAGGCATTCTATTCAGATGCAAAATTGGTTAGTCCTGACTTCAAAAATGGTTTAATTTCTACCATACTAACAATAAGCCTAAGGGAGCCTGTTACTTAGTCATATTTAATAGGTAGGCAACTGAGGCTGTACAAGATTAAGATTCCACAAGATGCTACACCAGGTGAGAACTCGGCTCTTCTAAATCCTTGACTTTCCAATGTTAAAAACTGTTTCTTATTTAGAGATAAAACATTTGTGACCTCCAGGACCACATTTCAATCTACCCTCATCAAAACTACATTCTTAGGCTTTATGAGGGGAAATGGCTCTGTTGAGGAGCTACCACCAGGGTGGGCCCTGTCATCCACAGTATGAAGTCTGTACTGTATCTGGTAGACTAGTAAAGCACCATTAGACTTGAATTTTTAAGTCTATTTTTAAAATTATCATTCAATAAAATTGCCCTTTTGGTGTAGAGTTCAGGGAATTTTAACACATGCAGAGATTCATATAACCACAACTATCAGAATACAGAACAATTTTTACTGCCACATAAATCCCCTTCATACTATTCCTTTATAATCACACTTTAACCTAACCACTGATCTATCTTCCATCACTATGGTTTTGTGCTTTCAAGAATGTCATAGAACATGTAACCTTTTGAGACAGGCTTCTTTAATTCAGCATAATGCCTTTCATATTCTTCCAAGTTATCAAATGAATCAATAGTGTGTTCCTTTGTATTGCTGAATACAACTACATGACATGGATCCACCAGTTAGTTGGTTTTTTCATTCACCCACTGAAGGACCTTTGAGTGGTTTCCAGTTTATTTGACCCATGAATTATTTCAAAGCATGTTATTTCCAAGTGTTTGGAGATTTTACTATTAATCTGTTATTGATTTTTAATTTCATTATGGTCAAAGAACACACTCTGTATGATTTCAATCCTTTTTAATTGGTTAAGACTTGTTTTATGACCTAGGATATGGTCTATCTCGATGAATGTTCCATGTGAACTTGAGGAGAATGTGTATTCTGCTGTTGTTTGGTGGAGTGTTCTATAAATGACAGCTGGATTCAGTTGGCTGGGGATGTTATTCATTTCTTCAATATTGTTTCTACTTTTCTGTATGCTAGTTTCCATTAGTTACTAAAACCGGAAGTGTGGATTTCTTCATTTCTTCTTTCAGTTCTATCAATTTTTGCTTCCTGTCTTTTGAAACTGTTATTAGGAGTAAACATGGCTGAGCTCGGTGGCTCAACCTGTAATCCCAGCACTTTGGGAGGCCAAGGCCAGTGGATTGCCTGAGCCCACAGATTCGACAACTTGGTGAGACCTCATCTCTACAATAAATCAAAAAAAAAAAGGAGTAAACATATTTAGGTTTGCCATTTTCTTGGTGAATTGACACTTTTATCAAACTATAACATCTCTCTTTATCCCTGACAATTTATTTGCTCTGAAGTCAACTTTGTCTAATGTTAATATAGCTACTCCAGCCCTCTTTTTCCCTTTTTTTTTAAAATTTTTTAATTTTATTTTAAAGATGTGGGGAACAATTCAGGAGAGAGTAGATAAGTGTTCATCGTACAGGTGAAGTTTGGGTTTCTCTTTGGCTCCCACTTCCCCTGGTTTGGGATCAGGTGCCTTTATTCATGCTCTGTGCCCCCTCCTCCCCTGGCAGTGTCCCACTTGTGCCAATCCTCTTTTGGTTAGTTTTCAAATGGTATTTGTTTTCAACCCTTTATCATATCATCATATTTGAAGTGAGTTTCTGTGGGCAGCATATGGTTGGGTCATGCTTTTGTAATCCATTCTGACAATATCTTTATTTTCATTGCTATGTTTAGACCATTTAATGTAATTATTGATGAGACTGGATTTAGGTTTGCCATTTTATTATTTATCTTCTGTTTGGTCCCTGTTTTTTACTTCTCTGTTTGCCTTTTCCTGCTTTCGTTTGGATTATTTGAATATTTTTAGTATCCCATTTTAATTTATCTATTGAGGCTTTGACATGTCTCTGTATAATTTTTTTATTAGTTGCTCTAGGGATTACAAAATGCAAACTTTTCACAGTCTACTTAGAATCCATATTTTACCACTTTAATTGCAATGCAAAAACCTTACCAGCATATTGGGCCCTCCATCCTTCCCACTTTATGCTATCACTGTCTGATGTATTATATATACATACATCAAAAATCCATCAGAAAATGTAATTTTTGCTTTTGATCATCAAACATGTTTTACAAAACTCAAAAGAAGTCTATTATATTTACCCAGATATTTACCATTTGTGTTGCTCTTCCTTCATTCCTTATGTTCCCATTTCCCTTTTGGTATCATTTCATTTCTCTTTTATTTGTATAAATGTATGCAATTGTGTTACAGCACAGATTGCACAGTGGTCAGGTCAGGACTTCTAGGGGTATCTACCCCTTGAATAACACACATTGTACCCATTAAGTAATTTCTCATTATCCACCCCCCACCACACACACACAAACACACACACACACACACACACACACCTCGCCCTTTCCAGTTTCCATGGTCTATCATTCCACTCTCTACAACCATCATTTTATTTCTGTATGAAGAAATTTCTTTAGCAATTCTCTTAGAGGAGTTCTGCTTGCAGTGAATTTTCTAAGTTTTCCTTCATCTTAAACTGTGTTTTAAGTTTTACCTTCATTCCTGAAAGATTTTTTTGCTGGATATTGGATTCTGGGTTAATAACTCTTTCCTTTCAACACTTGAAAAATTTTGTGTTGCTTTCTTCTGGTCTACAGAGTTCTGATGATAAATCTACAGTCATTCAAATTGTTGTTCCCCTTTACAGTACATAATACATCATTTTCCTCTATTTCTTGTCTTTATTTTCAGTAGTTTGACTATGATTTATCTATTTGTGGGTTTTAGCTTTTCCTGCTTGAGGTTCACCCATTCTCTTAAACCTACAGGTTGGCATCTTTCACCAAACTTTGAAATTTTGCCATTATTTCTTCAAAGATTTTTTTTTTTTTTTTTTTTTTTGGCACCGATCTCTTTTTCCTCTCCTAGGACTCCAGTAGATCTTTTGTTATTGTCCCACAAATACGAGAGGCACTGTTAATTTTTTCAATCTTTTTTCTGTCATTCACATCGTATAATTCCTATGTATATACCTTCAAGTTTACTCTTTCCTTTGTCATCTCTCTTCTGCTATTGAGTCCATTCAGTGAGTTTTTAATTTCAGTTATTGTATTTTTCCATCCTAAAATTTCCATGGTTCTTTTTTTATATCTTCTATTTATTTGATAAGACTTTATATTTTACCATTTGTTCCAAGAGTGTTTGCAATTGCTCATTTGAGATTTTTATGTAGCTGACAAAGTCTTTGTCAGATCATTTTAACACCTGTATCCTCTTGTTATTGATATCTCTTCATTGTCTTTTGTCATGCAAGTTGAGTTGTTTATGGTTCTTCAAATGCCTAATCATTCTGGAGTATAACCTGGCGTTTTGAGTATAAGTTTGTAGGTCTCCCTTCAATTCTATAGAAAATGTTTATATTTTTTATTAGTTTCAGGCCACAAGTTTCCACCTCCCTTCTGTGGGTTGGGAGGTCTAATGTCAGTTCAGTTTTCAAAGTCTTTGCAGTGCTATTCAGATCTGTCTGGTGTATATGTCACTAAATGGTCAGTCTGGAATCTAGATAGATGTCTGTTAGCTCAGGTCTCAAATTACTTGGCATGCCAATTAGGATCTGGATCAACCCATGTACCGAATAAGAATACACACCCAGGGACACATAAAAAAAACTTCATGGGGTCACTTTCCTGAGCTCTCACCTCTCCACATTCTCCCCAGTACTACCCAGTTCTTAGTGCTTCCCTTTCAGTCCTCTAGTTGGAAATTGATCATGTCTGCAATGGTGCCACATCTGGAAACAAGCAGTGGGAGGACAGAGAGAGAAAAAAGCAAGAGTGTGGCTCTGTTCTCTTGAGGCCACAGCTCCATCAAACAGAGATAATGGATCCCCTCCCTGAGAATATTGGTTCCTGAAGTCTCCCCCACCCCCCGCTATCATTGTTGTTTCCATTCCTTAATTCTCCAGGGGTCAGGAAATGAAAGAAGAGAGAATAAGGAAAAAGATGGAAATGTTCCCCCTCTCTCTGAGCTTTAGGAATTCTTTCTCTTATTTCTCAAGTCAGAACTAAAGGGCTTCTCCAGTGCTCCCTTCCTGGTTTCCAGCAGGATTAAGTTCAGCCCAGGGAATCCCAGAAGGAAAAAAAAAGTGAGAAACTCACCACCAGTTTGTTGCTTCTTCAGATTCTGGAGTTCTCCAATCTGCTTACTGCTGTTTACTTTTCAGAATTCTCAATTAGCTGTGCTAAGCTTTCTTTCCAAGTTTTATGATTGTGATCAGTGGGGAACAAAGGGTAGTATCTACTTATCCATCTTACCCAGAACTGTAATCCTAAAATTGATTGAAATAAATCATTCTGGTGAGTTTGAAGGCAACAAGACTGAAGACAGGGAGATCAGTTAGGAAACTACCA